CATGTACAATTGTAAATTTACCAACTCAATCTTCAACTATTTCAGTTGTCCATAAATTGTATTTATAAATAATTAGTGCTCATCTTATGATCATTTTATGATCCATAGATGGAGTCAAAAGAAGAAAGGAATAACTACTACATACAGAAATACTTACAAATGTCGTTGAAAAGAAACTTGCTGATTAATTTATGCAAGAATGGGACATACATTACAAAAAATCTCATGGACAATGGGAAAATACAAACGTTAGTGGTCAAAAGTTGTTCAATATTGAAATAAGAAAAGAGAAACGTCATGACAAACGTATTCTGCAAACTTTTCAAGATGGTGACACCACTAAGTGGGATTGTACAACATTATTTGCAGCAATACTGTATTCCAACTCAATTGGAACAAAACTTGACCCAAGAGTTAGAAATGCAGTAAATATAATTCGTATTGTAAGAAACAACTTCATCCATAGAAATAAAGACAAAGTATTTGATGACGAATTTCACACAATGGTCTGTGATATTGAAATTTCGTTTCGACATATAGGATTTTCATTCAATGAAATTAATGAAATAAAAAGTCAACGAAACAAATTTAATTCTTTTCAAGTACTTCCTTGTAAACCAAATCATAGCATTGTTAAACGTACAGAGTTACTTAATCAAATCACAGCAGATCTGAATAACTTGCGCAGTACTAACAACAATGAACTGACATATTACTATATTTCTGGTAATCCTGGCAGTGGTAAATCTCAATTAGCCAGACAAATTTGCGACGAAATATTTAACTCTGTTGACTGGGAAAATAAAACTACATTTGTGATGACACTCGAAGGAAAAGATGCTGACTCTCTATTAAAAACTTATAATGAACTTTGTCAACGTTTGAACATCCATGAACATTTTATTGAAAATATTATAAAAAAGGTAAAAAGCAGCGAAGACAGAATCAAACACATTCATTTCCTGCTGACACAAAAACTGAAATCTTGGAAAATATGGTGGATTGTTGTAGATAACGTGGTTGAACTTGATAAAATTTATCCATTATTACCCCAAGTTGGTGATCATAATTGGAAAAATGGACAAATTATAGTAACTGTTCAAAATACAGATGCTATACCACCAGATGACAATCTAAACAAACACATTTCAATCAGTCATGGTATGAATGATAAAGAATGTCGTCAACTTCTATCTGTTTATACCGATGTTCATAATCAGGATGAAGAGTTTTTAACGAATTTGTCAGAAAAATTAGATCGTCAACCATTGGTCCTGGCAAGTGCTGCTTACTACGTAGGTAGTGTAAAAAGTGCAAATCTGGAATTCACGTGGGAACAATATTTCGATAAGTTGAATGAAGGAGAGCGACAGAGCATGGATGCCACATTTCAAAAGATCAATACAGCATATCCTGGAGGTAAATCAACTTTATTAAAAACTGTTGAGTTGGCAGTACAAAAAAGTACTCAAGAATCCATATTATTGGAAAAAATTTTTAGTCTTTTCTCGATAATATCTTTCGATCCGTTACCACAAGATATTATCATACATTTTATTAAAAGCATTGATCCACAAAAGTCTGCAGAAGATATATGCCTTCAATTAAAGCATTGTTCGTTAATTCTTCAATCGGAAAACAACGACATTCGCCTGCATCGCGTTGTACATGAAGCCATCATAAATTATCAATCTTTGCAGACCTCTTGCAGTAAACAAAAAGAAAATAATTCGACTAAGATGTCTCTACTTGCGTGTCAAGTCGCTTGGGCACTCCATCATTTTGAAGACAGAGAAGATCAAATCAAAATAATTCCACATCTTATTAAATTCATAAACAATTCGTCATTTAAGCACTTTCAAAATAAGTTGATAAACGAGAAATCGTTATTTTTTTCTATAGAAAACAAAAACTTGATGAAAAAAAATTTGAAAATTACCAATTACTTTGTAAAAGTATTAGAAAAATTTGCCAAATATGAACAGGCCATCAATGTACTTAAGGATATAATAATAATTCAAACTAGAGAGTTAGGTGTCAATCATGTAAATGTTTCATATTCGTACAACGAGCTGGGTGGGTTGCTTTGGAAGAATGGAGAATACGAAAAAGAAAAAGAATCTTATGAACGAGCGATGAAAATTCAAACAAAAGCATTTGGACCTGACCATGTTAATAACGCGACAACGTACAACAATCTGGGTTTGGTTTACAATGATATAGGAGAGTACAAAAAAGCAAAAGATTTTTACGAACGAGCAATGGAAATTCAAACAAAAGCATTTGGACCTGACCATTAATATTGCGACAACGTACAACAATCTGGGTTTGGTTTACGGTGATATGGGAGAGTACAAAAGCAAAAGATTTTACGAACGAGCAATGGAAATTAAAAGAAAAGCGTTTGGACCTGACCATGTTAATATTGCGACAACGTTCAGCAATCTGGGTTTGGTTTACAAAAATATGGGAGAGTACGAAAAAGCAAAAGATTTTTACGAACGAGCAATGGAAATTGAAACGAAAGCATTTGGACCTGACCATGTTAATATTGCGACAATGTACTGCAATCTGGGTTTGGTTTACAAAATTATGGGAGAGTACGAAAAAGCAAAAGATTTTTACGAAAGAGCAATGGAAATTGAAACGAAAGCATTTGGACCTGACCATGTTAATATTGCGACAACGTACTGCAATCTGGGTTCGGTTTACGATGATATGGGAGAGTACGAAAAAGCAAAAGATTTTTACGAACGAGCAATGGAAATTGAAACGAAAGCATTTGGACCTGACCATGTTAATATTGCGACAATGTACTGCAATCTGGGTTTGGTTTACAAAATTATGGGTGAGTACGAGAAAGCAAAAGATTTTTACGAACGAGCGATGGAAATTGAAACAATAGCATTTGGACCTGACCATGTTAATATTGCAACAACGTACTGCCATCTGGGTTCGTTTTACGATGATATGGGAGAGTACGAAAAATCAAAAGATTTTTACGAACGAGCAATAGAAATTGAAACGAAAGCATTTGGACCTGACCATGTTAATATTGCGACAATGTACTGCAATCTGGGTTTGGTTTACAAAAATATGGGAGAGTACGAGAAAGCAAAAAATCTTTACGAACGAGCGATGGAAATTAAAACAAAAGCATTTGAACCTGATCATGTGAATATTGCGACAACTTACAACAATCTGGGTTTTGTTTACGGTAAAATAGGAGAGTACGAAAAAGCCAAACATTTTTGCATACAAGCGATGGAAATTCAAACGAAAGCATTTGGACCTGACCATGTTAATATTGCGACAACGTACAACAATCTGGGTTTTGTTTACAGTAAAATAGGAGAGTACGAAAAGCCAAACATTTTGCATACAAGCGATGGAAATTCAAACGAAAGCATTTGGACCTGACCATGTGAATATTGCGACAACTTACAACAATCTGGGTTTTGTTTACGGTAAAATAGGAGAGTACGAAAAAGCCAAACATTTTTGCATACAAGCGATGGAAATTCAAACGAAAGCATTTGGACCTGACCATGTTAATATCGCGACAACGTACAACAATCTGGGTTTGGTTTACAGTGATATGGGAGAGTACGAAAAAGCAAAAGATTGTTATGAACGAGCAATGGAAATTGAAACAAAAGCATTTGGACCTGACCATGTTAATATTGCGACAACTTACAACAATCTGGATTTGGTTTACAGTGATATGGGAGAGTACGAAAAAGCAAAACATTTTTTCAACGAGCAATACAATTTCAAACAAAAGTCCTGATATGTTAATACTGGAATAATGTACGACAATCTTCATTTGGTAATAAACCATCTATAGAAATTGACAATGCAGCTTTAAATTACTAGTTGCTAAAAAAGCTTCCGTGTTTGAGAAAATTTACAGCGAGATAGAAGAAAGAAGAAATGGATTTGTGGTTCCGTGAATTAACGAAAAAATTTACACTAAAGTCCTAACCACAACAGTTGTATTTAAAAAAGTTTATATATATTCTTGATAATATTCAATACAAACATTTGTATTTTCAAGTTTTCAATAGTCATTTATTTACTGGAACAGTTATTTATGTTAGCTAAGAAACTTGTATGGAGCTTTTATAATGTATATGAGATTAGTACGTTTGCAATCTATATAGTCTGAAATGTAAATCTCCTTAAAATGAGGGGAGTGTTTGTTGGGTCATTTTCATGAGAGTAAATCCATATCTTAGATGAACTATGACAATTCGACATCCCTTTTGTTTGAATGCTGAAATGACCAGAAGACTACTTTGTCATATGAGGATGCAGTTTTTTCTGTATTCATTTTTGTAACTCATAAAATACATTTTTTGTTTATAAATATTGTAGATGGGTGAATTGCTTGATAATTGTTAATAGATTCAATATTTCTTCCTGTTTATAGTTGGAATTACTCCTTAATTTTTTTGAAACTCTTCTTTTTTATAACTGGGAAATATGCAATTTACGTAATGTAATAACTTATTTTAATTCTATATTTTTATTCGATGGAGGTATTCACCGATAGTTGTGATGTTGAATTTGATGATCTCACTTTCATTTATATTTAACTTTTCTGAAATCAGTTTGCACTAAGATTATTTATGTAGCTGGGAGCTAGAATTAGAGGCGCAAAAAATGTATTTCAATGTCATAGAAATAAAAGACTCATTTGATTGTCCATGTCAGGCTAGCCCAATATTTAGTTATAAAATAAACAAAAACGAAATTCTTTTCTATAGCTTTTAAGCCTGATCCAATATCAATAACTGTTAAATCACGCAAAATGTAAACGTCTGCTGATCACGTAAATTGTAATTTGAAGGGCACAAGGGGATTTTGCGTGTGCCTCTAGGGGTACAGTTTGGGTTAGGGATCTTCGAGGATGGCTATAGACAGCAATCAACCTCAGCCATTGTGTACTTTCGAAGACAATCGTTTTAGTTGTCAGAGTATCAACAACAAAATAACCTTCATCGAAATTTCCTCACAATCGTCTTCTTCTTTTTCGTATTTGTCCCAGTCTCTTTGCGTGTTTCACCAAAGAATGTAACGTCACGATTCTCAAGCTGTCTCTGAATAAACTGTAGTCCCGCAAAATTGAATCCAACAGTATCCTAAAGATAAAGCAATCATTACAAGTGTGCAATAGTTTTATTGGCGTCGATGTAAATATTCAAGAAAATTTGTTCAGTTCATATAATTTATAAAGTCATTTGTTTAGTTCAAATGTTTTGAAAAGTCATTTGTTTAGTTCAAATGATTTAAAAAGTCATCTGTGGAAGTTTGAAGAAAAAAATTCAAAAACTCATGACGATTAATTTAGCAAAATTTAAAGAACTAGAGAAAAATGAAATCTTCATACTCTTGAAAATTTTTTTTTCTAAATACATACTTTTTTCTGTTGTTAATACACAAAACAATATTCTATGAACCTTTTTAATACAAAGTTAAACTCTGTATTAACATTGGCACTGTATTGTGAAAGAAAGCCTTAATTGCTTTTAACCAATCAGAATTGACGACTTTTTCATGTTTAGTTTACAGTCATTAAAGTGTCGACAAAATTTACCACGAATAAATTAACGGTCGTGCAGCGCATGGTAAAATTACGGGAGAAATTTGGCGATACTTGCGGTTTCATAAACGTACAACTTCCTACCTTCATTTCGCGAACTCGGCTACGACAATGTGATCTGATAGAGTCTATTACTGGCAGTAGTCTAGGAGTGGATATGATCTTGTTGTGATGTATTCTATTGTAACAAAATATGAAAAAAAGTAAAAAGTATCCAGCATTGTACCTAGGTATCTCACCAATTGTATCATATATTAAGAAATACTGATGGAACGTGATGAAATTCTTAGGAAATGATTTAAAGACAGACGTATTGAAAAAAATATCGATCGAAACCAAAAATAAACTAGGTCTTAATCCAACCGCAGCAGAAAGAACAGACATCGACAACTTAACTCTGTTTCCCAACCATTCTAAACAATCACGTACATCTGGGATGAGCAAAACTTGAAAACGAAACCTGTACCATGTGAAGTAAGGACACAGGAGTCAAAATACATTTAACTTTACCTTAATCCACTCAAGAAGAAGTTTCAGTACATCAATAACATAGTCAAACGGTAACACAAGCAATGATTCTTCAAGTTCGCTGAAATTAAATAATTTAAATGTTTTGTAGAAAAACACTTGCTTCATAAGATACCTCTCTACTTTATTCTAATAACACTTAATATTTAATTCCTTTAGTAACTCCAACGAGACACTTTGCCATACTTTACTTTTAAAATGCTCTAAATTAACTTCTAGTACAAACAACGATTCTTCACGGGATAATTTGCTGCTCTTTATAATACTTCAACCTTACCTTGACTTTACTTTTTTCACCACTAGAAGTACATACTGCACAGGCTGTGAGAAGAAAAAATTTTTTAAAAACGTCGTAAGTATATGGTCCGGGAAAAGCAGGTTGACATAGACAGACATTCAATCGTAGAACAACAATATTTATGGCCTCCATCTTCGAGGTCAAGATATTTTATTTCATTATTACAAATCCTGTGTATTTTACATTCAACTCTCATTTTTTCTAGAGTTATTATAAATAAAGTAAATGGTTTGAACCCGGGAGTATCTTTACATGTTTGTAAATGTAGATCGTCAGGGTTGGTACAGTCCTGAGAAGGACTGTTGATGGTGTTGTTGACTGACGTCTCGACAACCTTAGCGGCAGTCATCTTCAGAGTCAAATGAAGAGTAAACGTCAGGTTAGCCACATTTGTTATCTGGTTCTTACGTAACAATCTGAATAGCCTCTTGTGTGTTCAACGAGTACTTAATTCTAAGTCCTGCCGGAACAAGACCAAAATCCTTGCAGCGGTAGTTGAACCATTGTTGTTGTGCGTATGCGTCTGACGTTGCTTGCAAAACGTATGTAGTCGTTAGCAAGTTGTTCGCTCTGTCGTCCAAATGATCGTAATAAAGTAAACACACAACAGGCTGTTCAGATTGTTACGTAAGAACCAGATAACAAATACGGTTAACCTGACGTTTACTCCACATTCGACTCTGAAGATGACTACCGCTAGGGTTGTCGAAACGTCAGTCAACAACAACAAAAACAGTCCTTCTCAGGACTATACCAACCTGGATGATCTACATTTACAAACATATAGTCATTATAAATGTAAAGCCATCTCATCCATTTTTTCCTTATCTAAATACGTACGTATGTAAATCTTGCAATCTTACCATTACATTAATATTTACATTAATCATGTTCAACATGCACGTGGCTTTCATCTTGTATCACGTGGCCTTCATGTTGTTCTTAAATGGAAACATTGAAGATATAGTAAACTTACACTGACATTACCAAAGGCAGAAAGAATCGGATGAACGACGCGCTTTGGAAGCTGCTCAAAGGAAAGAAAATGTATGTGAGAACAAACAGAACTTGTGTAAAAAACGAAACTGGGATTTTCTGTATAAATCAGACAATAGTGAAGGGTGAAGGGCGTGGTTCCAATTAGAGAGTGTGGAAATAATGGTGGTAGTCTCATGGTTAGGTCAATGCAGAGCGTGGTCCCAATTAGACAGTATGAAAATAATGGTGGTTTTATTGGTAGAGTTTAATAACAGTGTAAGGCGTTGCTCCAATTAGAGAGCAATAAAATATTATTGGTGGTTTCATGGGTAGGGTAAAATAACGATGCAGGGCGTGGTCTCAATTAGAGAATAAGAAAATATTGGTGGTGGTTTCACAGGTAGGGTTTAATAACAGTGTAGGGCATTGCCCTAATTAGAGAGTAGGAAAATACTGACGCTTGTTTCACAGGTAGGCTTTAATAACTATGTAGGGCGTTGCCCTAATTAGAGATTAAGAAAATATTATTGGTGGTTTCATGGGTAGAGTTAAATAACGATGCAGGGCGTGATCCCAATTAGGGTGTTTAGTCAAGAAAGTTTTGTGATGTTGCCGGTCATGGTTATTTAAAATTGTTCTTTTAAGATTTAAGATTGTCTGTACGTATAACATAAACATTTTGTAGATGTGCAGAGCAAGAAATAACAAACCTTTCATTTAAGATTTAAGATTGTCTATACGTATAACATAAACATTTTGTTGATGTGCAGAGCAAGAAATAACAAACCTTTCATTTAAGATATAAGATTGTCTATACGTATAACATAAACATTTTGTTGATGTGCAGAGCAAGAAATAACAAACCTTTCATTTAAGATTTAAGATTGTCCATACGTACAACATAAACATTTTGTAAATGTGCAGAGCAAGAAACAACAAACATTTTATTTAAGATTTAAGATTGTCTATACGTATAACATAAACATTTTGTAGATGTGCAGAGCAAGAAATAACAAACCTTTCATTTAAGATTTAAGATTGTCTATACGTATAACATAAACATTTTGTAGATATGCAGAGCAAGAAATAACAAACCTTTCATTTAAGATTTAAGATTGTCTATACGTACAACAAAACATTTTGTAGATGTGCAGGGCAAGAAACAACAAACATTTTATTTAAGATTTAAGATTGTCTATACGTATAACATAAACATTTTGTAGATGTGCAGAGCAAGAAATAACAAACCTTTCATTTAAGATTTAAGATTGTCTATACGTATAACATAAACATTTTGTAGATGTGCAGAGCAAGAAATAACAAACCTTTCATTTAAGATTTAAGATTGTCTATACGTATAACATAAACATTTTGTAGATGTGCAGAGCAAGAAATAACAAACCTACCGTTTTGTCTTTTGTCACTTGACTCGCTTTATGTTCAAGTTCTTTCTGTCTTTCTTCCTTATACAATTCAATGGCCTCCATGATTCTTTCAGCCTAATGAAAAGATAAGAGAACAAACATCAACATAGTAATCTCCAGGCGTATATTATATATTATACTGTAATACCCTCCAAGTATCCTAATCATACTGTACTATCTTCCAAGTATCTATATTCTACTATAATATACTCCAAGTACCCAGTCTCAATGTAAGTTTAAACATTTGACCTCAGATATGCACAGTCTTCACATGTCTTTGGTGTACCACAGTTTTCGATATATCTGTATGATTTTGAGGTATCTTTCAGGTACTACAGGGGGGACTGGGCACAAAACCAATAAAATTAACTTGCAATGCTAATACAACAACAAAACTAACTCCTTTGATCGTCTCGATAGTTTTCTTGCCAGCTTTAACAGCTTCTGTGTCTTGTTCACCTGGAATCTAAACAACATCATGGTTTAAATAAATGAATTTATTTAGTGCAATAAATGCAACTTCCACAAGATATTTTCCATAGTGAAAGTATATAACAAATACAGAGTAGTTGGGCTGAAGATGGGACATACATATCTCATGTTACATAGTAAAAAGAATCTTACAATTGTTTCAACTCCTGTTACGGCGCTTTCTTCGTAAGCTGCTTCCCTCTCCTAAATAGAAAAATTAAAATAAACATTGAAAGTACAGGTACTATATGCATATTTTTGCAGCTCCAGCCACAGATTTATGTATAGTACCATTTCTCTCTCCTCCTCGACAAACAACGGTTCGTCCGTTCGTTCCCAGAGTCTTAACGATTTATCATGTGACCCACTGATCTGTAAGATATAAAACAATGCATGTGAAACTGGAGTAGTAAGAATAAGGGTTGATCTTTGAGTAAACGTTTTTCGCTCATTCTTTCATTCAAATCAAGCAAACGTATATTTAACATCATCCAAAACCTTCCATACTTGACACTTACAACAAACTCGCCATTATCTAAAACCTTCTATACTTGACAATTACAACAAACTCGACATTATCTAAAACCGTCCATACTTGACACTTACAACAAACTCGCCATTATCTAAAACCTTCTATACTTGACAATTACAACAAACTCGACATTATCTAAAACCTTCCATACTTGACACTTACAACAAACTCGACATTATCAAAAACCTTCCATACTTGACAATTACAACAAACTCGACATTATCTAAAACCGTCCATACTTGACACTTACAACAAACTCGACATTATCTAAAACCTTCCATACTTGACACTTACAACAAACTCGACATTATCTAAAACCGTCCATACTTGACACTTACAACAAACTCGACATTATCAAAAACCTTCCATACTTGACAATTACAACAAACTCGACATTATCTAAAACCGTCCATACTTGATACTTACAACAGACTCGCCGTCATGGCTTATTGCAAGACTCCATATTTCTGAATGATGACCTTCATGAAGAAATCTGTCAGCGTCCCAATATTTTATCGTTTTATCTTTACTTGCACTGAAGAAATAATGAGTTTTTGGCACGAACTGCACCGCCATGACACTAAAAGAAGATTAAAGCTGTTATAATATAAATAGCGAATATACATGTACGTATTACTAGGTGTAATGTTGATAACATGAGAATATAAGGTACACAATGTAAGTACATGTAGGTATTACTAGGTGAAATAATGATAACATGAGAATATAAGGTATACAATGAAAGTACATGTAGGTATTACTAGGTGTAATGTTGATAACATGAGAATATAAGGTACACAATGAAAGTATATGTAGGTATTACTAGGTGTAATGTTGATACCATGAGAATATAAAGTATACAATGAAAGTACAAGTAGGTATTGTGGGGTGCAATGTTGATTACATGAGGGAAAAAAATATGAAGAAAATCTACGTATAAAACAATTGAGGACGTGGTTTACTAGTATGTTATAGACGTACGAGGTATGGTGATGACGAAACAATGATGTAACCAGGGTAAGAGGGTTTACAGGGTAAAATGAAGATGTACATAGGATACGAGTGTATAGTAGGGATATAATCGACTGTTTCAGGCTATCATATATTACTATCATAAAATTGCGTATCTGTCATTTAAAATTACATTGTCCGCACCTGTCATCATGGGCGAATATTGATTTTCGACAATCACCAAAATCCAAACCCCAAATCTTAATGTTCTTGTCAACGCCACCAGAAACGAGGAGAACGTTATCCTGTAAAAAATGAATCAAGGATGACAAATATACGAATCGAAAGACAGACAAAAGTTTCAAAAATAAATAAAGACGCCATTGAAAAGCGTTCACTAATACAAAGTAGTCAAGAGATGGACCGCTACACGCTCTACACTTTCACAACAGAGGATTGGTAAAAATTTGCACGGTCATACGTAGTTGACATTATGTACGTCTTTTTCAAAGTTTTAAATCAATTTTCATTACATTCTCATAATCATCGCTCATTTTATAATTCCTTAGTTTACGTCACAAACCTAAACTTCCTCGTTTGGGTTTAAAGCAACATTGAAGAAAAGCTTACGCAGAAAAATTTACATTCTTTTGAACTGATGCATAAATTATTAATGCATTATTTAAAATTGATTCACTTTGTAATTTTATTTCGAAAATATCTAATACGAAAAGCTTTTGCGAAATGACTTATTTACAGCTTGGTAATGTATCTTTTGTGTATACGTATTTTTCTTGTATTTTATGTCCTAAAGTTCTTTCGACTAAAAATAAAAAACATATTATAAAACATGATATCAAAACAGACTTGGAAGCCGTTCCTGTGAGCTTGAAAAACAGTATAATTTATGCGACAGCTAAAACGGATGTGACGTATACAAAATGTATGCGCCCATGACGTAAGCTAAGGATTCTTCTCGTAAACACAATACACGTTTGCATACAACAGTCAAACGTGGATACTTTGAAACACACGTCATATGAATAAAACGTACCGTTGATATATCCATGGTAACAACAGGTAATTTATGACCATAGAGGGATAGGAAGAACTAAATAACGACGCGGGAAAAGTAACCACATTTAAAGAATGAATACAAAAGTAATTAGGATAAATGGGCAGGAAAATGTTTATTCATTTAAATTTTTGAGACTTCTGTAAATCAAATTATAAAGTTGATGGAAAGCATACACTAATGCAATGTTACGTAACTAGATTAAAGTAAAAAATATCGCCTTCTTTTTACAAGAGTGGATTTTTAAGTGAATTTTTTGTAGGAAAAGGAAACAGTTCTAACTCAAAGTGTATTTTTATTGTGATTCATAGAAAAACATATGGGAGAATTTCGTACAAGGAGTCATCTTTAAAGTGATCTACAGCAACAAATGAAAATATTATAACAACTGCTATCCAACATCAACTGCTATCCAACATCAACTTCTATCCAATATCACCAACTGCTATCCAACATCTACTAATATCCAATATCAACTACTATCCAAAATCAACTGCTATCAAACATCAACTGCTATCCAATATCATGAACTGCTATCAAACATCAACTGCTATACAATATCATCAGCTGCTATCCAACAACAACTGCTATCCAACATCAACTGCTATCCAACATCAACTGCTATCCAACATCAACTGCTATCCAACATCAACTACTATCCAACATCAACTGCTATCCAACATCAACTGCTATCCAACATCAACTGCTATCCAATATAATCAACTGCTATCAAATACTATCAACTGCTATCCAATACCATCAATTGCTATCGAATATCATCAACTACGTACAAATATATTTAACAACTTACCTTCAATGTATATGTGAAGAAAATCTTCATTGTAAAATCAAGCAAAGCCACGGCAATAAACTTTTGATTTGGACTGCAACGAAGGTTGGCACGTGATTAAATGGAAGATCGTAAGTACGTATACCCTCCCCAAGGTGAATATATCAACAACTAACCTGAACTTTACACACATAACGCCATCATTCATCTTTAATGTTCGTGCATGACAAATACTTAATCTTTGACTAAACAAAATAATACAACATGAATCACCCCAATTGTACAACGAAATACATAATCTAATTAGACAATATTGAATCATACAACTAGAAAATGTTAAGCTGAGATTGAACAAACCAAAAGCGGATGGTCACATTTAACCACTTTTCTTTACAAACATCATGAAATGCACAAGAAAAAAAAGAGAAAAAACTTTAGAACACAAGCTTCAACGAAGATTGAACAAATAAAAAGAGGATGGTCACATTTAACCACTTTTCTTTACAAATATCATGAAATGCACAAGAAAAACAAGAGAAAAAACTCTAGAATACAAGCTTCAACAAAGATTGAACAAACAAAAAGCGGATGATCACATTTAACCACTTTTCATTACAAACATGAAATGCACAAGAAAAAAAAGAGAAAAAACTTTACAACACAAGCTTCAACAGAATTAGTACATAAAGTTGTTTTTTCTCCGACAGACAAAGGACATTTTTCGTCTTACAATGCAAAAAGAGTGAGAAAAATCACGTTGAGTGCAAACGTTGCTTTACATGCAAATTATTTATTACCTGGTCGTTGAATAGTTCTCATCCGTAATCAAATCAAATTCCCAAAATTTTACATCCTTGTCACCACTTCCTGAGGCGAATAGCGTCTAGAAATTGATAAATTCATCATTTCTAGATTAATGTAGTCTTAAGCTCCCTCTGAACGATTCACTGAAAAAAGGGAATATATGAGGACGGGGGGTGGGTTGAAGTAAAGCATACGTCACTTGTCTCTTCAAGGAGTTACAAAATGACAAGCAGCAGAATAACTTAAGTTTGCCAACAAAAAGATCGCTACTATTTATGTTAGAGAAATAATCGAAAGAAAGCATATTAAGAAGGGCATGGCAGTCCACAAATTTTGTCAAAATGTTACTTTCCAACGACTGGACCTAAAATATGTTTTTTAAATAAAGTAAAGTCCCTTACATTATCAGGAGCTAAACACAACGACCAAATAGCACCATCGTGTGCGTCCACAGTTTCAAGCAATGAACCAGACGAAACGTCAAATATTTGGAGTTTGCCAGCCTGTAAAGGAAATTTAGAGGGTCAACATCTTACATTGTCTCACTACTTTATTAAGTCATCTTCACTATTGTTGTATACCTTAGTACCAACAACAACGTGTCTGTCATATGATCTTACATTGTCTCACTGCTTTATAAAGTCATATTCACTAATGCTGAATACCTTAATACCAACAACAACGTGTCTGTCACATGACCTTACATTAACTCACTACTTTATAAAGTCATATTCATTAATGCTGAATACCTTAGTACCAACAACAACGTGTCTGTCACATGACCTTACATTGTCTCACTGCTTTATAAAGTCATATTCACTAATGCTGAATACCTTAGTACCAACAACAACGTGTCTGTCACATGACCTTAAATTATCTCACTACTTTATAAATTCATATTTACTAATGCTGAATACCTTAGTACCAACAACAATGTGTCTGTCACATGACCTTATATTGTCTCACTACTTTATAAAGTCACATTCACTAATGTTGTATACCTTAGTACCAACAATAACGTGTCTGTCACATGACCTTACCATGTCACACTACTTTATAAAATCATATTCACTAATGTTGTAAACCTTAGTACCAACAACGTGCCTGTCACATGACCTTACAATGTCTCACTACTTTACAAAGTCATATTCACTAATGCTGAATACCTTAGTACTAACAACAACGTGTCTGTCACATGACCTTACATTAACTCACTACTTTATAAAGTCATATTCATTAATGCTGAATACCTTAGTACCAACAACAACGTGTCTGTCACATGATCTTACATTGTCTCACTACTTTATAAAGTCATATTCACTAATGCTGAATACCTTAGTACCAACAACAACGTGTCTGTCACATGACCTTAAATTATCTCACTACTTTATAAATTCATATTTACTAATGCTGAATACCTTAGTACCAACAACAATGTGTCTGTCACATGACCTTATATTGTCTCACTACTTTATAAAGTCACATTCACTAATGTTGTATACCTTAGTACCAACAATAACGTGTCTGTCACATGACCTTACATTGTCTCACTACTTTATAAAGTCATATTCATTAATGCTGAATACCTTAGTACCAACAACAACGTGTCTGTCACATGATCTTACATTGTCTCACTACTTTATAAAGTCATATTCACTAATGCTGAATACCTTAGTACTAACAACAACGTGTCTGTCACATGATCTTACATTGTCTCACTACTTTATAAAGTCATATTCACTAATGCTGAATACCTTAGTACTAACAACAACGTGTCTGTCACATGATCTTACATTGTCTCACTACTTTATAAAGTCACATTCACTAATGTTGTAAACCTTAGTACCAACAACGTGCCTGTCACATGACCTTACAATGTCTCACTACTTTACAAAGTCATATTCACTAATGCTGAATACCTTAGTACCAACAACAACGTGTCTGTCACATGACCTTACATTAACTCACTACTTTATAAAGTCATATTCATTAATGCTGAATATCTTAGTACCAACAACAACGTGTCTGTCACATGACCTTACATTGTCTCACTGCTTTATAAAGTCATATTCACTAATGCTGAATACCTTAGTACCAACAACAACGTGTCTGTCACATGACCTTACATTATCTCACTACTTTATAAAGTCATATTTACTAATGCTGAATACCTTAGTACCAACAACAATGTGTCTGTCACATGACCTTATATTGTCTCACTACTTTATAAAGTCACATTCACTAATGTTGTATACCTTAGTACCAACAATAACGTGTCTGTCACATGACCTTACATTGTCACACTACTTTATATAATCATATTCACTAATGTTGTAAACCTTAGTACCAACAACGTGCCTGTCGCATGACCTTACAATGTCTCACTACTTTACAAAGTCATATTCACTAATGCTGAATACCTTAGTACCAACAACAACGTGTCTGTCACCAGGTACAAAAAACGCACTTAGACAATAACCAGAAGACATTGTTCTGATGCATTTCTGAGTCGATCTATAAATTTGTTAGAGATATCATCACAGGTTGATATAGATACAGTCACTCTTTCGACCAGAAACAATGAGAGCGTAGAGTATGTAAGTCTGTTTCGGTAATTTTACATCCTTCAGGATAAATTTCAATCCTTGCATAATGTTTTTTTAGTAAACTTTGAATTTGTTCACCCCCCCCCCACAATTTGAAATTACTCGAACCTTATTCCCCTAAGAGAGAAAGAATGATTATCCTGTTGGTACAACTTGATAAAACTTTAAAAAATATGCATCATTGTATGTTTTAGTTAAAGAAATTACAAGCAAATACACATACACAACTTTAAAAATCTGTTTATTGTACCTGTTCCACAATTTAACACTTTCAGCTGCGCCAGAGAGGATGCAGGAATCGTCAGAATTGAATGACAAAGTCCTAAAGTAACAAAGCTAGCTAAAAATCAACTAAATCAAGGGTGAAGTTCATAAAATAAAAAATGCGCCATCCATTTTATTCAAGATTTCATGCTAAAGTGAAAAATACTACAAAATGCGGATGAAGCGAAAATAACAACAACACAACAAAATTAATCATTTTCTCACATGCAATTATTTCTAACCATTGAATCGCTGTGTAAAATAAAAATACATTTGCTCTTAGGAGTCAATCAGATGAAGTGAGCTGTTACAGTATGACGCTTCAAAAGGCACATGAGATTTAAGACTAACTTATTGTCATCACATTCCAGATTTAGTGAGATCTACGTAGCCACATACCTTACATCACTACGATGACCAGGTGTCTTTATGGAAAGTATATTAGTCGAATCTTTCTTTTCGTCACTGAAGACATGAAACTCTACGCTGTTGTTGTGTAGTAATAATGAAATCTGTAGAAATTTATAAAACTTCTTATTTCAAGTGGATGCAACTAATTCCATAGTATCCACTATACTACGCATTCTTTACATGTACAATCAAATAAGATGATAAAAAATGACGAAAGACTATTTTTCATCGTTCAAAATGACTATTTGACAACAGTTGGAATTATACAGAAACATCAATTTAACACATCCATACTTCTCAAATAAAATAAAATCGCGGAAGAAAAAAAAAGATACCTTTAGATCATTATTTGAATTCAATGCAAAGTCAAACGACCTAATAAGAAAAAAAACATTGTTTGTATTTTATAATGGCGGGAAAGCAAGACAAGTGAATGAACGACGTTTGTACGCATGTACGAGGAGGACAAGAAACGACTTTTGAATCATAACTATCGTTTAAAAATAACTTTTTTATTCAGGCTTTTTAAAGAAGCAATTTTTAAAATTGACATTGTAAAACTGCTTAAAAATATTGCATGTATGAAAATGTTAGAAAGCAACATTCATTCATTTCAAATAACGATAAACTTTTTCTGTGTTATATTTAAGAAAAAACATCCGATGAGAAAAGCACGTCTAGAAAAATTCTCTCTCTCACACAAAACGCTTGACTTCCACAAGCGAATTACAATGTTTGTACTCCATACATCATTTTACCTTATCTTTGAGGTCGCTTTAACATCGGGTAATTTTATAATCTCGTCTTCGACGGTGGCTAAGACGTTTTCAGAAATCTGATAAAATAAAAGTAATGTTAAAACATGTTTCAAAAATAAGACAAATCATGGACAAATACACAATTAAAATGTTGGAAGAACGGATATATGATTCTTTCCTACGTATTTCTGTTTCTACGTATTCAAAATTTCATTTCATTTCAAACAACAAAACCAAATATGCTCCAGGATTTTGACATAATATATATAAGAAGTATTCACAAATAAAGAGAAAGATCACAATGTTACAGAAACGAGGCAAGATTGTGATGTCTTAGCGTAAACTACGTATATTTTGATTCGTCAAAATTCTTTGCACACAAATTTCACGTAACAAAAATTATCTAACTGTCAGCTCGTCGGCTTCCAATCCTTGAGATCTAGGAATAAATAATGGAAAAAAATATCACATGTATGAGAATAAAAAAGCTTGAATATAGTTTTAAAATTTCAAAGTCAACAACCTTTGCTTCTTTAAAATCTTTTTTCGTCTTTTTGCCAAGCGTTTTTTTTTTCGTCTTCTGATGCAAGACGAAACATTTCTAACGTAGAATTAGCACCCTAAACAAATAAAAATTATCTTCACATAACCACATCTTTTCTTTAGTCCTCTCGTGAAATAAGAAATACTGATTATATTTTGTAAAATTCATTCATAACCGTGAATGTTTTTCGACATACGTAAAATACTACATTCTCAACTTGGTTATGAAGAAATGAATAATGACAACCTATGGTTGACATTAGAATAGAGTTTTTCCATTGAAAACTGAGCAATATTTGCTACTGCAAGAATTTCTGCTGGGTTTGTAAAAATTGCACGAAAATTACTCAGACAGTTGCTTTTATAATGAATATTTCCTCACGATGTCAACACGACTCTCGGTGACCGAAGCAAAATTCATATTTAAATTAAATATTTTCTTCTCCATAACTGACTACCAAACCCACTTCTTAGAAAGCTGTGCGTTGCTATTGTCTAGGGTTTTAAATAGTACAATGAAATACAATAAGCTATAGAATTATAAAGAACGAAAACTTAATGTTTATCATTAATGTTTGATTAATCCAATCAGAAAAGCCATTTATAGTTGATACTAGGTTGTAACATAAAGCTGAGCAGTAGTCACATAATGTTCATCATCTCCATAACAATTTTTTACAATCCAAATCCCACATAAAAACTTCTTACATAACGTACGTACATGACAACCAATATAAGTTCGTGAAAGATCGCAATACAGCGACAGTACGCGATCAGTTGAGCTTCTCATGACAGAGCCAATCATTGTACACGAAAGCCATTCCTATTGAAATTCGAAATAGAGAAGTTGAAATCCGAGTTGAAACTAGAACTAAATGCTTATTTATGAATTTAAAACTAGACTAAATGCTTGATACAGTGGTTACAGGTCTAATGCAGATGGTCAAATTATAAAAACAAAGTTTATTAGAGATTTTATTAGTTTAACCTAACATAGTAATATACACAAAAATCGTCAACAATCCTATGCACAAATATCGACCAACATTCCAAATACTGTATACCTCACAAATGTTCACCAATAGTCCTAATTTACCTCACAAATATCCATCAACATTCCTAATACACACACAAACATCCAAAAAAATCCTAATATTACCTCATACACGCATTGTAACTAAAGATCTGAAAAACGCTTATTTTCCCTTTGGTTTTCTGAATTTAAGTATCATCCACTATTATTCCTTATGCATCATGCAAGACAAGGCAGAGAAATGACCAAAAAACACCTCTTATGTACCTCTATTTCCCCTACATCATCCTGACTAGATTGCGTTGCTGTCTTTCGTTTTCTCGTTTCTTCGCGTCTTTCTGTTCTATCATCCTTGTACTGAATTTTCCAAACTCTCAATTCACTATCAGCACAACCAGTAATTAATCTTGTTTCATTCTTGACGACAACAAAGCCCCAAACCTTAAAAAAATGTACATTACAGTGACTTTATTACTGTTCCTAAATCCCTGTTTCTAGCCAAGTATTCATCCCTATTGTTTTACGGAGAGTGAAGGGTAGACAACTCCTACATCCTATCACAACAACAAATTAATAGGTTCCATTCACCTCTGTTTTATGACCAACCAAGAATTCGATATTTCACAATATAAACAGCAGGGGATTGAAATATGATATTTAGTGGACATCCCAATCATAGATATAATTGGACTATTATATCTATGATCTAAACGACAACTTTTTTGAAAATAGACATGTTTCGACATCTCATGATGCCATCTTCAGTATGAATGAAATAATAGGTGATACAGGGTTTATATAAAAGTAATATGATACATAAATTAGAACAATAAAAAGGAAATAAGATAATATAATGAGGAGCGTCCGAGCGTTTTATAAACTAAATATTGTATTGAATTTAAAAACTTGAACATTGAGGTCAGGGTTAGTTTTGTTAATGTGGAGTGCTTCTTTGATCTTAAGGGTGAATGAGGTGTCGGCAGTGTCGATGATTTTGAAACAAGAGGGTGAATAGTTGATTTTGCATGAGTGAGATTTAAGAAGGTGTCGGTAGATGTGAGAGTTTTTGTCTGTTGTGGTATGTTCCCTGATTCTGGTGGATAAATGGCGCGAAGTTTCGCCAATGTATCGGGAATTACATCCCGCGCAATTGAATTCATATACCACCATAGATTTAATTGAATCAGGGATTGGGTCTTTGAATGAGAAAAGGTTTTTGATTTTGAATGAAAATTAGTCGAATGTCAATATCTGTACAGAAGCGTTTCATAATGTTTGTAAGTCGGCGTTGTGTGTGTCGTGAGTAATGTCCGATGTATGGTAGTTTGAAGTATAGAGTTGTTATTTTGGAATTTTCATTTGTGTTGGTTGTGATCGTCGTGTCAGGAGTTTCGGTGTCTAGGTTGAGGTTCTTGCTATGTTTGTTGTCGAGATATCGTTTTACGGTTCTGCTAATAAAGTGAAGTGGGAAAGAGTTTCGTAAAAGAGTGGATGTGATGTTTTTTATGTCTCGTTGAAAGCCATTGTTCGTATTGTTAAGTTTGTATGCTCTGTCGATTAGTGTGTGTATAAATCCGGTCTTGTATGAAAGTGGTGTGAAACTAAAATAGTGCGTCAGAAGTCCTGTGTACGTTGGTTTGTGGTATGTAGATGTTGTACAGCTGTCGTGAGATTTTGTTAGTAAAATGTCAAGAAATGGCAGTTGATCTTGTTGTTCAGTTTCAAAAGAAAATCTAATGTTTGCGTGCTGTGTGTTAATGTAATTATAAAACTTCATGGCCTCAGTTTCGTTAGTAAAAACACAAAAAATATCGTCAACGTATCTGCGGTAAAATAGTGGTTTAATGTCGTGGTACTTGTTTAGCCAGTTTCGTTCATGTGAGCCCATGAAAATGTTAGCAAGTATGGGTGCTAAGGGAGAGCCCATCGCAACACCGTCCGTCTGGTCATAAAATTTTCCATTAAATAAAAAATGCGTCTGTGCTGTTGCTATTAAAAACAGTTGTGTGAGGTCGGTCCTGTTTATACTGAACGTGGGGTTGTGAGTGAATATTAAGTCGACTGCTAGGTTGATGGTTTCAGTAAGTGGTATGTTTGTAAATAGGCTTTCAACGTCGTAGGAGATGAAGAATTTGTGACAAGAAGTTGATGAGTTGAAAGATGAGAAGTCGTCGAGGAAAGTGAAAGAATCTTTAGTGGAGTGGTCATCTGGTATGAGTGGTGTTAGTAGAGAGCTAAGATACTTAGCTAAATTATAATTGTATGCGTTGATTGATGAAACTATCGGTCGTAGTGGAGGCGATTGTTCTGGTTCTCGTTTCTTGTGAAGTTTCGGTAAGCCATAGAAGCGTGAGGGTTGAGAACCTCTGGGGAAGATATCATTATAAACTTTGTTGCTAATAGAGCCTTTCTTTAGAAGCTTCTTTAATAGTCGTTGTAGTTTGGCTTCACGTGGTAGTGTGACGTCTTCTTTGAGTGGGGTAAACTTTGCTGTATTTTTAATGATTTTAAGGCAGGAGTTACGGTACATTTGACGATCCATGATTACAACGCCGTTGCCTTTGTCCGGTTTGAGAATGATAATGTTTGGATTGTTTCGAATGTTTTTAAGGATGTGATGTTTTTTGAAGTCAGCTGGTGTCGGGTGATAAGATGAGATGTACGAGTGAGCGATGTGTGCCAGCTCTGTTTTGAGATGCGTGTAGTCTTCTTGATTGCGAATGTTGTGTTTTATAGTTTGGTGAATTTTTTCGAATGTTGCCAGAATGTCGGTTGAGTTGAGTCGCAGTGGTTTAATGCTGAAGCCAAGGCCATTTTTCAGGAGTTCTAGTTCTTCGTCTTTTAATTGGTGTGATGATAGATTGGTTATCGTCTCGTTGTGTGTGAATGGTAGGGTTCTGTTCCTTGTGAGATTACTTAGTTTTTTCCGGTGTGTGGCAATCGCTCGGACGCTCCTCATTATATTATCTTATTTCCTTTTTACTGTTCAAATTTATGTATCATATTACTTTTATATAAACCCTGTATCACCTATTATTTCATTCATACTGAAGATGGCATCATGAGATGTCGAAACATGTCTATTTTCAAAAAAGTTGTCGTTTATATTAAATGTGTATTGGCAATAGTGCTTTTACGAAATTATGGAAACATTATTTACGACATAGCACAAAAATACGAAGGAAAGGTTTCCTTATCAGAATTGCGGCAGTTTGAAAAGCTTCAAACCAAACAACGGAAAGCAGAATTAGATGTTAAGTTTCTTAAAGATTGTCTTTCACTCGGCGTTTATCCAAAGTTTCTCTGCTTTCCACTACCAAATGTCAACAACCAAGATAGCTTTGCGATACGCAGACGACTATTACGCAGCGCAATCAAAAAGCGAACAAAGGAAGAAAGGAAGTCATCGAATGAAGTAACAAAAATATCATAAAGTTTAAAGAATAATCTATTCTCTCTCGACTGGAATATTATAAACAAAGCTCTTCCTTCCTTCCTTTATTAACCTGGACGATCATCATTTACAAACATATTTAATCATCTTATATAACATTCATCGGAATACGACAAGCAGGGTCTTGCAGCCTAAAAGTCGTTCGAGAACTATCGTTTGTTTTACGATGGATATGTTGAGTCTTTGCTAACAGCATACAGGCAAGATGCTGGGGTCCATGTTTATATAGGCAAAGTTAAGCCTACAATGAAAGAAATGACTAAAGATGGTAAAGACGTTAACGATTTATGGTTTATATTGGAAGGAAACGGGTCTAATCGCGGCAGTGTGCTTGATGCGTATTGCTGTTGTCTTGTTGGTAGAGATGGTGGATGTAAGCATGTATCATCTGCTTTGTATTCTCTTGATGATCTGCAAGTAAGGAGTGTCAATGGCTTCGAAGATCAAGATTCTCATTCATCTGTTAAAAGTGAGTTCTTATCATACCACCAATAAATATATTGTGCAAATAAATCTTGCTATATGCATTATTTGGTAGGTCCCACGGCAGGAAATCTCTTCAAATCTCTGTGTTGTTTTTGTATCACTTTTTTTTAAATACTTTTTGAAGGTAATTATGGAAACTACATGTTTCTTCAAGTTAGAGCTTAATAATAGGAAAGATATACTCAATGCAATAACATAGGGAAGAGTGCTTACTTTTTCAATCTCGCAACATATTTTAGAATATTGAAAAATATGAGAAATGTCCCAATGATTTCATTGTCATGGAACATAAATGGTTCAGTAACAAGGATGCCACAATGGAAAGAAATAAATGGCACTGAACTTTGCACACATTGTTTACTCTGCATTGATCTAAGTTTATCAACACAAAGGAATATTTTATTGTATATTTTTTAAAACTTCTATATACAATGTTTTTAAGGTGATGCAATAATCTGTGGTTGCAAATTAACCAATGCTGCACAGATAGACGCAACAGAATCAATATATGGTTTCATTGTGAATGGGATTACACCTTGTAATATATTAAATGACTTCAGTTGTTGAATAATTCTTTCAATGTGAATCCTCTTTGTAGCCACTCTCCTTGTCATTGTTGTTGCACCAGTGTCAACATTACCTTTATGCTTAATTGGAGGTGAAATTAAACGGACATGTCGAAGGGCAAGTAAATCCTGGATATTAAATCCTTTGTCAGCCATCCCCTGCAGCTAACTCTTCCAACAATCCACATCTCTTGATGATTTCCTTGTCGCTTATGCAACCACTGAACAATGTAGAGATATAGTTAATATGTAGAAGCGGTGACATGGAAATAAATAGTTTGAAGGTGTTTCTGCCTTTGTAGTTACTATGTGTCCGACATTGACTTGAAGGAAGAGAAGGTTTTTGTATATAGAATTCTGTGCAATCAATTATTGCACGAAGACATGGACTAGATTCGTAAACTTTAGGCCGGGTTCTTCCTTCCATGTCTTTCAAAGTGGTAAATGGAATAAATAACTTTAATTGCTTCTCAAGAAACTTCACCCATGTCAAGAATATGCTGCTACCAACAGTTTCTGACACTCCAAATAAATCACATAACATCTTGAGACTAGGGAATCTTTTGATCCTGACCAATGTGAATATAAATTGCTCATAAACTGAAAGTTTAGCCCATGTAGAAGTTTTGTGGATCTATAAAAATGATTAAGTGCTTATCATTCATTACACATAGGTAGCCAGGGGCGGATCTAGACCGATGCAACCGATGCGAATGCATCGGTCAAAATATTTAGATATTAAAATCTGCGAGTTTGCATTTTAATGAAATAAATAGCAAATATTATTTTCGAATTATTTAAAACGCACATTTGACAGTGATATATTGTTTAGTTAACTTATAGATTTAGCAGTTTTAAGCTAAAATTTGTTCTAGAAATAACATTTGTGTTCTCCGATAATTTTGTCGTATTCCATGACACAAATAGCGAAAGAAAAGTCGATAAAATTTAGCGAAATTTTGTCGTGAATACATAATTAGTAAGTAATTTAATAGTATTCTGCCAGCACGTCACGGTAGATGGAAGAGGCATCGCTACGTCACAGTAGATTTGCGATGCATCGGTCGATGCATCGGTCCCGAGTCCTTTTCCACGTGAAATCTACTGTGACATCAGCAAAACTATTGTTTTAGGGCCTCACGTCACGGTAGATTTTGCCGCTGAGCGATGCATTTTCCATAATTTTGTGATTGTGGGCACATGGCACCGATGCATTCAACTTTGAACTTCAAAGTTGAATGCATTGTTATTTGATCACTTGATATAACTCGCAATCATCGATCGAAGTCATGGCTGTCGAGAATATCAAACACGATCTGTGTACTCTGCTTCGAGAAGAGAAGTCATTTGATATTAATGGAGTGCGTCGAACCTATGAAACGAGAGCTGCTACTTTTATTTCAAAATCCTCTCCTTGGAATCCCTTTTCAAAGGGTAAAAATGGGAGAGATATGTCAAGTGAAATGTTAATACCTAAGCACTTGACAGTTCATTGGCAAAGTGGAGAACTAAGAGCTTTAAAGTAAGTAAATTTACCTTTATGCTTGCATGTTTTAAATGTAAATAGTGTACTCATTTCAGACTCAGAGTGTAGTCGTGTAGATAACGACGAACAATCATCATAAAATATACACGATGTCATATTACTTATGCAGCACTTATACTTGTATTCATATGTAATATAATACAAACTGTAATATGCAGGGGTAGGTGCGATTTTAGTTGCATTTTAGTTTATGTATTGTATGGATTACATTAAAAATGTAATGACTGTATTCCTTCTTCCAATACTTATGACTTCAGCACGTGAATACTACCGCATGAAACTAACCATCCCTCTTCTTGATCACTTGATTGAACAGATGGAATTTCGGTTTTCTTCAGAGGTGTGCGATATTTATCGTGGATTCTATATTATACCTAGTATTTTTCTCAATTGCAAGGACGTTAATTGGAAGGAAGAGTTTATGAAGTTTGCTGTTGCATATAAAGAGGATATGCCACACTTTCGGAAAATACATGCTGAATTAGGATTGTGGGAAACAAATTGGAAAGGGGGCTTTGAGAAAGTTAAGTACGATTCAATTGCCGACACGCTTCGAACTTGTAACAAACTTGCGTTTCCAAATATATTTACAGCGCTTAAGATACTCGCTGTTGTGCCAGTCACTACATGTGAGTGTGAAAGATCCGTTTCTGCCCTTCGTCGAATGAAAACTTGGTTACGTAGCACAATGATCAACGAAAGGTTAAATGGATTAGCCCAAGTGCATATTAATGATGATATTAAGTGTGATGTCGAAGAAGTGATTAATATCTTTGCTAGACAAAACCCAACGAGGATGCAATTTCTTGATATCCTGGAGGATAAAGAAACAGATGCTTGACGATGAGCTCCATGAGAAATTCTTAATGCTGATAAACAACCTACATTTTCTTTGAGAGTTATCTTGTTTTCAGCCGTTATTGAGAGGACGAAGACCACGTTTAAACATTGATTTTCTTAAACATTTCATCTTTGCTGTGGTTGGAAGAAGACGATCTTTCAACATCTCTTTTATAATTGTTGTCATCTTTGCTGCCGTTAGAAGAAGACCATCTTTGAACATTGCTTTTATTAAACTTTTCATCTTTTTTACCGTTGGAAGAAGACCACCTTTGAACATTGCTTTTATCAATGCTGTTATCTTACAAAAGACGGCTCATGTTATTTTTTCGATAAAATTTACGCTTAAGATTTTTCTGTCACCTTTCCCAAATCGCTGGAAAATGCTTCTCGGATAGTGAAAATTCAAAATTTTTCTGGGGGAGCATGCCCCCAGACCCCCCTAGCGGTGACTCGCGCCTTCGGCGCTCGCAATGCATCGGTCAGCTAAGGAGCTGGATCCGCGCCTGTAGGTAGCTATTAACTGCATTACACAACTATTAACTTGAGTATTTACTTGAGCAATGTGTATGATTATATATTACTGTACCCTAGCACTGCTCTTTTTTTCTTGTTTATATTTTGCTGTTTTCTTCCCTTTCCATTTGATAAGCCTGGAAGCCTTTGCTTTCACGAACTCAAAAAGTGAAAAATATTTTCAACATTTCACCTGGTAGGCCTACAGATAAATTAATTCAGAGTAGCTCACAAAGCCCTTTTTTATTTCCAATAGCTTCGAACATAAGCAATTATATCCCGTTGTAATCAACATAGTAAAAAATGAAATTTTATACCTGTATAATGCGCTGAATCATTAACCACATTTTCTAAAAACATGCATTTCTGTATACTGCTGGTGTTAACAAATGACTCAGTCGCATAAGTTTTAAGATGTTCATTATTTAGGTTTAAACACTTGGTCCTGGTCATTTTTCAAGAGCCATTGAGATTGGCTTTGAAGACACTCGTCATTGGGTTTTCGTTACATGTCATGTATGATAGAATTCATTTATGACTACAAATATAACTGTCTTTCGTACACACAAATCTGTCACCTCGATGACACGCACGAATCCAGCGCTCTCGCTACTCGCTTTGATATTTCTCCCCAGGAAAATGTAAAAAAAATACTTTGCTTCTACTTGCGTCTCGTTTTAAACGATCAGGATACCGCGAATCGCTTTTGCAGGTTCCCCAAGCGCACCTCTTCGTCGTAACCATTGTTAATAAAATTACTCCGCCATGTTTGTCTGAGTGAAACACGTGCTGAAACACGTGTTTCCACATATATGAAAACCGCCAAAGTGGTGTATTTCTTTATTATCAATCAAAAGCAAAGGCATCATGTAGTTGGTTGCGTCTTTAATCCTTCTGAATTTGTGAAGGTATGTTGATTTTAAAGTTTACCTGTCACTGCAATAATGTATTTTAAGTTCGGGATTTAATATTTTATGTCCATTAATCAATTATTTCTTTATGTCAAGAAAAATTTGCGATAAAGTCATTTCCGCGTTACGTAAATGTTTTTTATGGATAACATTTGTTGATTCTAATGGGATTTTTCAATAAATTTGAGTTCGCAACGATTTAGTAATGGAGACTTCTGATCTTTTCCGATTTATTTCAATAGTTTACCTCAAATTATAGCAAAGCTATAAGATTAATCAAATAGTGACACGTCATTCTTCACACAGTCTTAAAGTGCTACTGAAGTGAAATTTTCATATTTCGTTTTTCGATACAAACGTTTTCTCTGTATTTTACTGATCATTTTGAGCTATCGCCCACTGAATTTAATCGATGGGAACGCATCGAACTTTGTGTTCAAACATGGCATATTTGCTTGTTTTGATGCGAATTTTACTTTGAGTGCGTGACGTCATATAAAGGACGGAAGTTCAATTTTAAAGCTCTTAGTATATAAAAATTATATATGAACAAGCATATTTCCACCTGGAATTTTACATATTTTATAACTTCTCTTCGCAAAAATTGCGTATATTTAGTGACAAATGAGCAACACGCATAGGTAAGCAACATTTACAATCGATTAGAGTTTTATAAACTTCTTGAATTAACTTATATTTCTCAATAAACTGGGTGCCGCATGCTTGACGAAGTCTGCGGTTTTAACACACACGCAATGTTATCAGAAACTAACTGTAACGCGCTTATTTCCAATCATCCAATGTATACTACTTTTATAAACTTCTGGATTAGACTTATCATTCTTATCATATGGGTGTCGCATCCTTGACGTAGTCTGTGGTTTTAAAACCCATGCAATATTATCACAACGCACATAATATAAGGAGAATAATTTTTTATTAAGTTAGTCAAACGTAACGATACACCGCAAGTTAAAATATGGCGAGTAGGCAAAATTCTGCAAAAAATCGTCGAGGAGGACAATATTGTGTTGCTGGTTGGCCCAACGGAAAAAGTTGTACAAACAGTCAACACACAGAGGGTGTCTCAGTACATCGTTTCCCCATGAATGACAAGGAGAGGCTGAATAAATGGACGAAATTTGTTAGGAGACATAGGCCAAAATTCGTTCCTCAGCAGTACTCTGTGCTATGTTCAATGCATTTCGCAGATTCTGCATTCACCGTGAACGCAACAGTTGCAAAATCGCTAAACATGAGACGACGATTGCGAAATGGAAATCCATTGCTAGGCACATTACAAACAAGCATGAAAACCATCCAGATGAGTTGTTTCCTAAATGTGCTCATGGAGAGCTAGATGAACGTCTATGGCTTCAAGTTGGTATGAGCATGCACACATTTAGGCAGCAAGACAGAATTGAGATTGTTAAAATGTCTAAAATGTTATTTACCACTTTTCAGATGGGATTGTATTCTTTTTAAGGAACTAAATCATATCAGCGACTTTCCTCCATTCTGTTGAAAAAATCTGTTCTCAAAGATGTCAAAAAACTATCTTCAGAAGCACAAACTAGTTGTCTCGGTTTTCATTCAACATTAAATGGTTGGCATCCAAAGATGACCCACTTTTCTTGGCTTGGTACATATTGCAGGTAACTTGTAATCACTGTTCTCTATCTGCCAAGCCTTTTTTACTTGTTCCTAGTCAAAAAAAAAAATTACATAATAAATGGTTTGTTCTGTTTAGGCACGTACTGGCAGTACTTCATTTCAATGAAAACCTTCACAGACAGCCAAAAAAAACAAAAAATGGAACACCATATTATTCTGTGACATACCCAAAATTTATATCAGGGGATGAAGTAGTAAGAACTGTTTCTTCAGCACCATCATATTGTAAGTTTAGCATGTATGCATTGGTACTCTTGACTTACACATCTAACCACTTGTCATTTTTCCAGACTATGTTAATGAAATCAAAAATGTCATGGTTCTTAGTTGTGAGGAATCCATGGACAACATATTTAAGAAGTATAAGGAAAAAGTCCCAGAAGCCTTAAACAAAACTTTCTCGGATCAAATTTCCAAAACTGAGGCAATCCAACGGCATTTGGATAGGAAACAACTATCTTCAACACCATTGTTTCCCACATGTAAGTTGTTCATGCTACCATGTATAATAAATATGGCCAGTGCATTCTAAAAGTAAACAAATTAAATTGTTATTTATAGATCAACAGCAAGATGTACTGCAAGCAAAAGGTTTAGACAAAGAAAAACAAGCTGCTTCAACAGGTCCTTCAGATCCAAAAAAAATGCGCTTATGCAAAATTGTGGACAGCCAATGAAAGGACATCCAAAGGTCATTGTCCACAAGAATTACTTGACAAATATTCTTAGCAGGCCAACTTTAAAGTTAGTTATAAAATAATATACTATGCTACAAAAAATGTTCTTATTTGATTAATTATTTTGACTTCACACAACAAAATTGTGAAGCATCACAGCACAATAATGAACCACATAAAGGTAAAAAGTAGAGATACATGGCAAGATATTAATCATTCGTTACAAAACAAAATTAGAAATCAAAAATGTACTAACTCATTTTCATGTATTCTACGACGCTTGTATGACCTTCCATCTTGGTCTCTTAGAAGTGAGCCAACATTCTTCAAGACTGTAGCATGTGTCATAATCGTGTACTCTTCGTGAAGAGTAACACAGCTAATTTTTTCAATGCTACCATCGAATACCAGTTTATGTAAAGTAGGCCCAACCTATTGACAACAACGGTATTCAATGGCATCTGTCAGCAGTTGAGTACGACCCAAGCTACATGCACACCTATAAAAAAGTGGTTTGTTATCATATTTATGCACCACGACATAAGGACAAAATAACATGTTTAATTCATGGTTTAATTTCTTCTAGAGTTCTAGTAACATTTATCAACTTACCACTTATCTAACTGAAAGGTTCCTTCGAACCTCGCTTCCAATGTTCGAGGTTCTAAGCCATCTGCGTCTTCTTCGACCGACACAAAATTCTCTCCGACTGCGTTCGCAAGAGGTTCATTTTCGTAAGGATTTACCACTGAATTAGCCACAATTGTATCCTCATCGCCGGAATTTGAAAGTAAATTTTCATTTGCCATATCTGAGTTTTCAGTATCCGAACTGCGTTCGCTTTCACTGCTTGAAGAACTCATATTTTATTGTGTATATGTGTTAAAAATCTAACAAAATACTAGTAAATCAATGCTCATACTTCGACTTCCGTCCTTTTTATACGTCACATCCGTATAATATTTCAGTGGTAAAAATTCGCACGCGTAACCCAACTTTGAGCAAAAATTTATTGATGATCCCGTGCTTCAATATGCATAAAAATTATACCAAAGTGATCAGGAAAGATAGAACTATTTGATTATAGAAAAAAATCGATACCCAAAATTTCACTTCAGTAGCACTTTAAATGTTCTGATCTCTACTGTTTTTCTGGGGCCGGTTGTATAAAGCCCTTAACTACTTTTTAACTACACTTTTTGCAGTGAAAAAGTAGTTAAATTTAACCACGCGATTAAGTCGGTTGTATAAAAAGGTAGTTAGCGCTAAATGCAGTTAAAAGGTAGTTAAAATTAACTATGCTATGGAGCATAGTTAACTTTTCAAAACACAGTTAAATATGGCGGCTTAGCTTCTCAAAGACAATTATGGGCGAGATGTTGTTGTTCAACAACGTTTTATCTTGAGTTTTTAATCACATATGTATCTTCCATGGCAAAGGCTTTTAGAATAAGAGGTTTATCGACGGTGTACTACATTCGTCAGTGCTGTAAACATCCCATATTTTGTTGATGAAAAACAGCCAACAATTTATCCATCTAACAAATCCTTTTTACACAAGAGCAATTGCATTTTGTATTATCTTTCTTGCGTCCGGTAGCTCTTTGCAACTCATAAACGAGACTCTCAATTGAGATAGAGCCACTTCTCTAAGATTAGTGCACATAACTCGCTGACATTGTCTTACAAATACGTACAATTCGTTCAATGACAAAAAAAAAGAAAGAATGTTATTCGAGCAATGAATCCTATAGCCTTGGATGTATCAAATATTCGAATTGCGGGTTTTTCCCTTTGCATTTTGCTTGATTGAATATCATATGCATCATATAAACTCTTTGCTCTATGGAAAATAAGCTAGATTATGTTAAAACGAAGAGTTACTACAGTATAAATGTTTTTCTAAGTATACCAATGATAACACATATAGATACATGAGCTTTACAACAGTTTTTATTCATGACTAGTCGTTTGTGTATCAGCTGCATGAGATACAATGATGTTAGTTTTTTAAACACATAAAACATTTCATTAGCATGCATGGTGAAGGTCGATGTTTCTCAATATATGTACATTATCCATTGCATATTGTTTATTACACAAGCAGAAAATATACATGACAGTCAATTAGTGGGTTTTATTGATATTTCATAATATATTTCCTATATAAAAATTTTTATTTTTAATGTGCATACAATCTTGCCAGCTATAAAGATCTAGCTACTGTTTGATGATTTAAAAAGTAGAAAAAAATGAATAAAACTCCCAAGCTTTAGACAAAAATAGGCTAATAAATCACAAAGGCATAAATAAAAGTTTCATAGCTAAGGCTCATTAACAAATATACCCAATAGTTTTTATAACTCAGTTTTTGCAAGGCAGAATTAAGAGCAAATAAGTATTTTGTGTATAGCTGTGAATATAACATGTCACAAGCAGAGAAAAGATAGTTGCTGGATTACATGGTTACTAACTATGATGACTCAAAGAAATATTTTCTAATAATAAAAAAGTCCATCACAGTCATCTTTTACAAATATGTGTGACTTATGTCAGTACAGACACATTTCTTTCAAGCATTTTACTCAGCTGTTATAAAGAGAAACGAAACGACCTTTTCTTTTGTTACCCTCAATCTCTCAGTTTTAAATTCTATAAAAGCAAGGCCATTTAAATATTTAAATCCTTGCACATAAAACACAATATGAATCAATTTGAGAAGAGTTCATTGTTTCGTTTGCCCAAGTCCATTATATACAATTGGTACATAAAATAAAGCAGTCCTTGCCGAGACTCATCATTCATCAACATCGTACTGTATTACACAGAAGATAAGGGTCGATTTTCTTGAGAAAAGTCCAAAGTATATGCTACAATTTAATCCTGTTACCATGTCACCGTGAATTGTTTATTAAATTTTCTTTTCGCATCATCAACATCCGTAAAAACGACAATAGTTTGCCATATTTTAAGATTTTTACATAAGCCAAGAGATTTTTCTTCATTTTAAAGTCATTTTATAGTTCACTTTGTTGGGTTTGATGCAGTGGCCATGATAAATAATCACACTGATGTCTGGAGGTTTTATTACATTTATTCCCACACATAGAAGAAAGACTAGCACACGACAACTAACTGATGCACAGAATGATACAGCTATTTACATACGTGACGCTAAACTATGATTGGTCAGTTTATTTCCTCAGCTCTTGTTACAAATAATATCGATTACGTTTACAATCATTTCTATAATTAAACATGTAGGAAGTTAACACACACTTTACAAGATACACATATACACATCACATGAGAGCATAACCTAACACACTTGCCCGCCATTACAAAGCAAAGATTGATTAAACTTTATGTCATTTTATGTAAACAACACTCCACGAAATTACCACGCGAGATAACTACGCAGTTACTTAACTATCCGACAAACTACGTTTTGTGCAACGCAGTTAAGGTACTACGGTTACGGAGTTAACTACGGTAGTAAGCGTTAACTAATGTTAAAGTTAACTACGTTTTTATACAACCGCCCCCTGTGTGTAAGGTGAAAAATGTTTCTTTTTTTATTCATTTGTCACGTATCATTCAAATCTCATGTTGAAGATGCATATTCTACATCGCCAACAGAAAACAAGCCATATTTTAAAGACCTTTGCCACGGCTAAATATAAATCAATGCAAAATACTATTAATATATTGATTTTTTTTAATATAACTAAAATTTTTACACCCATAGTGTATAGTGCAACTGCATTATCGATAAAGTTTTGCTTTAGATAACTATATGGAATGATTACTGTATGGAATGATGAGGTTGAGCATTATATCAAGAATCATTCAGACCGATTCTTGATATCATGTGAAACACGAATGCAATAATTGTTTTATTATTCACCGAAGTATTATCAGAACATATCCATATAAAACATTTTTCAAACCTTCGCTAATTTGTTTTTGTCAGACGGTTTATTCAAATCCGTGTCGTTTAAATATGTTGTAAATGTGTTCAAAGCCAGCTTCGTCGCTCTTTTAGTGTTTTCCGCATCCTTTTCCTTTAAAACCTTTCACATCGTTTTTAGGAACTGTAGCAAACATCGCTGTTGTTTGATTTATTTTCAAAACCGGCATTTAATGGCGGCCATATTTGTGGAAACTATTATCTGTAGGTTATGACGTCATAACCTGCAAATATCGAGAATAATCTGCAGGTAGTTGACCAATCACAGCCGGTATTCTCACATAGTGAATAATAATCGTAATTATTTTATACCGATTATAGTACAGCTGTTAATGACAAAATTCTTCACTTAAATGATACAAGGTTAAAACTATCTTATAGTCTTACCATGCCTCAAAAGACAAAATTTTGATATAGGGCCAGCTCATATTTTACATTTACAACGCGTTCTGCGCATGTCGTGTTTGATGACGTTTTCAGTAGTAAAAAAAACAAAAGTACGGAGTCATCGCACTTTCTCTGTATGTTCTTATACAACAGCTAAAGACGATAGAAAAACTATATTACAACTTTTGCTTTTGAGCAATACATTCTGAAATATTCTACATCAAAAGTGTTTTAAAATTACTGACTCAGCATTTTTGTTTAGTGTTATTACTCTTTCTTAAATACATTGGAAAAGCACCTAACCAAGAACAGTAATATTAAAATGATTTTAATGCCATCATGTTATTGACAATCACCCCCACAATTACACAAACGAGTACAAACAAAGTGTGCTTTGACGCGTTTACAACGACTAGAACATGAACTTTTGCATCCGCAACAAATAAGTTCATAACAGGCATCTTTAACTTGAGAGAGACTTGACCACTTTGGTAACCAAGAATTTTCATCACGGTACCAGCCCCAACCTGACAGAGTGGGAATAGCCTTCTCTTTTAAGCAGCACTGCCCCCAGAAAAATGCACCGTGCAACAATGCAAGCTTGGTGTGCTGAAGCAACGCTTCTTGGGTCAGTGTTCTGGACTTTTTGGCAAACAACTCTTGTCTAGCTTTATTGACTCTGGTGAAATTCCTTGGACGCAGGGGCGGATCTAGGATTTTGGATACCATAGGCAAAACATTATGACGTCATTCAGTGCTAAGCCTATGACGTCATACTTTGCAAAACATACTACACTATTTATGCTTTCGATAAATTGTTTAAATCAAACAGTCTAATCATTCAGCTATGCAGAATCTTGTAGATCTCAATCGTATAAATACATAAAAACATTGTATATTTATACTTACATATCACAAGGTCGTTGATTTTCACTATTCAGAATATTGAATGCACACAAGACTGTTTCGCCCCATATCAGGGCTCATCAGCCCTGTGAGAGCCGAATTAAGCAGACTGGTTATGGCGCCAGAAGTTCGCCTACACACCTTTGAAAAAGGAGTTTGGTTAGAAATGGGTGACTATATGGGATATTTCATGGATGTGATATTGCTCAATTTTTCACACCATCCCAGTCAATTCCAACCCTTTACCCCCCACCTAAAAATGAGCACTCTGGTTTTTGAAGGCGCCAGAAACTCGCCTTTCACACCTTTAGCAAATAGCAAAAGGAGTTTGGTTAGAAATGGGTGACTATGTGGGACATTTCATGGATGTAAGATTGCTCAGTTTCTTACACCATCCCAGTCAATTCCAACCCTTTACCCCCCACCTAAAATGTGCACTCTCATTTGCCAACAAATGAGCAGAATGTAAATGTAATGTAATAGTCAAAATAGAGCTTTGTATAAAGAGTCTTTGTGAAGACTAAAATTTGGTGTAAGGAAAAATTATTCTATTTATGCTTAACAATTTTTGTGAAAGTGAATTTATGTCGACAACGGCCGAGTACCATACACGTACTCAGCAGTTTTAAGATTGGAATGTATATAGGGAAAAAAAAACTTTATCGGGCGAGCTATTAGTTTGATGCAAATTCTATTGACGTTAGTATTGTGTACAACGCACAATAAATGGTTAACATATGGACATTTCAACAAAATAAAAAACTAGGATATGAATAAATTCATGCAAATTTTAGCCTTGTATTTCCAACAGCAAAAGTATTAATAACCTCACTAATATCTGGTACAATTTCCTGATCAATTTGCATCAAGGCCAAACCATTTAAGCGTTCCCCAACCATGGTACTTCGCTGATAGTTTTTAAGTGTCCTAAGGGAAGAAATAGATCGTTCACATTCACAAGAGGTAATGGGGAGCGTTCCTAAAATACGTAGTAAAATTTTAATGTTTTCAAATCCGGCGAAATGAACAGATTTTAAAGTCTGGGCAATGTTATCAGGAAGGAGGCCGCAGTGGGTCTCCCAATAAGTGTACCACAACCTAAGTTCAGCATCTAAGGCCAAAGGATTTGGCAAATCATCATAATAAAAGTTAGCCACAGTTTTGAATGGCTCTTTCCAATCCACCCCATCTCTTGTCATGGACATCATTTTCGTCGGTACAATGCTAAGGCCTTTATAGACATTCACACTCTCAAGGTCGAATCGTGATTCTAAAGAAGATTGCAAATGATCTAGTAGAGGAAGAGTAATTGCACGTTTATAATACTCAGAAATGGTTGTGTGGGGAATATTTTCCCTGGTCGTTTGTTTGCGCACTGTTCTTGGTTTCCATTCTTCAATGCCAACTTTTGCTGCCAGTTCAAGCGCTTCGTCATACCAGGTGTCATGATAAAAATCAGAGGAATTCCTCATGTTCACCACCTCAGTTTTCAAAGTTGAAATTAAATGAATACCATCCATTATATCGATACTCTTACCCTGTAATAACTGTGTTACTGGAAGAGTTGAATCAAGAATATTTCTCGTGATAACTAAAGCAACGACGAAATCAAACCTGTCGATAAGTTGAAACAAAAATGAGGCATCAGACTGAAGCAACGGTTTGAACTCACCATCTAGATTTTCAGACATATCGTTAAGGGTGGTGTATACAGGTACAAAAAGCTCTTGGAATGTATCTAAACCTTCGATACGTTCTACCCATCTAGTTTTGCAAACGTCTGTTAATCTAGTCTTCTTCGAGTTTGTTTCTGAATTACGTATATGTTTTTCAAAGGGAATATTGCGAGTTTGGGAAATTTTAATAAAATTAGTGGCATTGTTAACATGTTTCAACATATCATTGACAACACGTATACTCAAAGAATCGCAAATGGATAAGTTTAACCTATGACTATAGCAGTGTGTATAAAGAGCCTTTGGGTTAAGCTTTAAAATTTGAGCTGCTAGACCATTAGTGCAACCAGCAACTGAACCAGCCCCATCATAACCTTGCCCCCTACAATCATCTATTGATAAAGTCAGTTCCTTTAGAGCCTCTAAAAGTAGCTTGGCAAGTTGAGCACCACTTAGTCCCCACTTACAAAAAGAAATGAAATGAATTCTTCCCTGATATTCATATCGGTATCAACAAAGCGCAAAACAAGAGACATTTGTTCTTTATGTGAAGAATCAGATGCTTCATCAGCAATAACAGAAAAAACTTACTTTTTGATATCAGAAATAATCTGATTACTGATTACCTGGCCACAACATTTAATGATTTTATTTTGACTTGTTTTAGAAATATAACTTCTATTCTTACCACAATTCTTTAAATGATTTTCTAAAACTTTATCCCCTCTCCTAACTCCATAATTGAGTGTTTCAATGAAATTACCAACCCCTCCAGATGAATAACAACCAACAGTAGGGTGATACTTGGAATCATCACGATGCCCACGAAGAGGTAAACCTAGACGTCCACAAAAAATGACAGAATCAATAATTGGAGATAGTATTTCCCTATTCTGTTCTATTTCTTTCTTGATACCAGCATCCATGATCATCTCGATAGGCTGCAGAGTACCTGATATTTGGGAACGCAAAGCATCAAAATTGGTGATGTGGATGCATGCAAACCGACTTCCCTTTACTTTTTCCAGCATGTTGAGTGAAAGAGCATTTAGCATTCTTCCAATCTTGAAGAGGTTCAGTAAACAACTTTTTTACTTTACTGGCCTTGCCTGGGAATCTATTGCCAAACAACACACACGATAGACAATACGCACCATTTTGTGAAGGTGAATAGCAAAGCCATTCATGCTGGTCTAGCCAATCATGCCTAAATGATCTGCCATTAGATTTAGGAAAATGATACTTTTTATCTGGTTTATATACATTTTTTATCAAATGACATATTTCAGAATTATCCATACCCTTAACTTTCTCCCTATACAAGGAAACATCAAAATTATGGGTTAAAACAGCAGGTTGCATATCACCAGAAGTTGGAATACCAGGCAATAGTTCCTGGGATGATGTGTGAAGCAAAAGACTATTGGCTTTATTTAATGTCTGAGCAAGAGCTGCAGCAGAAGAAAAACTCTCATTGGGCATCCTTTTAAAAGTTGGTTGGGCAGCAGGCCTATTAGTTGAAGTAAAAAAAATTTGAAATGTCAACTGTTTTTTGGTGCAATATTTGGAAAAATTTTGACAAATTTTCGTTTCTCTGTTGTTGAGCTGCTAGAATTAGACTGTGTACAGGAATTAGACAATTTTCGCTTCAACCTGTGGGCATGGAAAATGAGAGGCACAAAATGATTAGACTGAAAAGTCTCACCTGGTTGTACAGATCCTTCATGACAAAACAAAATATTAATAGCATCCAAACCTCTTTGGCTTAATAACCGGGGCTGAACAATACGATTAAATAACAATTTATATCTACTTTCACCAGAATCAGGATAAAAGTATGAATTTTTCTACCTAAAACAGAAGATAGGCCCAAAATACAAAGAAAAGATGACCATTTCTGGTCATTACAATTTAAAATAGCCTCCTGTTTTACCAGTTCATCTGTTGTATATCCAGTGTCTAAACATTCTTTAGACACTGACAAAGGCAAAAGATTGTTTAAGCTTTGGGCAAAGTAATCACTGTGCTCACTTATAACAGACAAAAGCATGGGTGTTGAGCATAAAAGCAGCATGAATAAATAGCTCAAGCGATGTTAAAATTCGCAAAGTAGGGACCAATGCATTGTTACCTACCAGAACTAGGGAAGCTGAACTGTAGAGGCAATTGCCAGAAGCTTCAGATCTTAAAAAATATTCAAGAAAAGAAATTAATATTTTGTTTGGTAGATTGATTGCATTGTATGAATGAATTGCTGACTGTAGACAAAGATATAGCCTAGCGAAATTGAGATTTAACCATTTTACACGTATATATAAATACTACAATACGATATATATAATTATAATATATTTACCTTATTGCAGTACAAGTCTTTCCGTCATGAGCGTGCTTTGGCACATATATTTCAGCTCCAAAATTTCGACACAGAGTATGGTCGGGGTCATAAATTCTATCTAACAGCTGCTCGTTAGTAAACATAGGTCGAACGTCGACCAATAAACGAGAAAAAGCTCATTAAGGCATTTTAAATCGTTTTGGCCAACGCAGACTGAGCAGTCTCGTATAAATTACCACAACACAATGAAGACATTATAAAATATCACAAAACCGTAAACTGAGCACAGAGGCTGTTCAGAAACAATACGAGTGTATGTTAATTTTCAATTGCCTAATTTGCCTAGCTCAACTATGCTTATCAACAGCAATGATTGGTTGGAATTGCTCAAGTTAGGCAAAAAAAATTGACCAATGAAAGCATACGGTTGCAAAAAATTGCCCAATCAGAATACCTATACACGATGTCAAGTTAGGCAAATTCATCTTGTTTAGGCAAATTGCTAACAACCAATCAAATGGCTAGATCGCCTTCTTGACTTAGGCAAAATGGCTGCTTTGCCTAACGACACGGAGCTTTTTAGATAATCATACGCATCTGGACTACGATTCATATCAAAATTACGTCATTTAATTGCACAACATTTCTAAACAACAAAAGTCAGATGATTTGACTGCGATAAAGTGCTATTCATAGTTTCATAATTCGATAAATTCGTATCGAATCTAAGTCGAAGTATATTTTGGTAATTTCACCATAGGCACTTGCCTATGGTGCCTACCCCTAGATCCGCCCCTGCTTGGACGATTATATAAGAGGACCTCATATCGCTCAATCACCTGCAAAACATTATATGAATCATAATAGAGACCTTATTTGATAGATAATTTATGCCTTTGGCGGTTTCTGAATTACCTGCAAGGACGAACAATCGATCCTTTCTGGCAACAAATTTAGCTCTTGCAACGCTAAAGCTAGCTCTGGAAATAGATTCCATACATCCCATGCAGTTTTCTTTCCCCGACCTCCAAGAAAGGAAACAGTATCACACCCCGTAAAAGCGTTAAACAACGGTAGAACAGATGTCTTGTCAGGTCCGTTAATCGATGCAATTGTATGCGCGGATATATAACGCGAGTGCTTTTATGTACCATAAAGAATCCATAATTCTTCTGCTTTGATTGGCAATTGAAATGGCCAGTATCAATACGTCAGTATCATTTGTTCTTACAACAATCCTCTGGTGGCCGCAGTCACTTGCATCTAACACGTGCACCATCAATCGTGTGTCAGCCTCTTCATGATTACATGGCTCCAACATTGATACCTCGGTTCTTTTAGGGAAGCCCAAGACCTTTTCTTCAAATGTGCTGTAAATTTCTCTTTCTTCTGGACTCGGCTGGAAAATAACTTTCCGCGCCAAGAAATTGAACCGATCCATTTTGTTGGCATCTACGCGCAGGAATCCCTTCTTATCAGTAAGGATACGTACTTTCGATGAAACCTTGCGGCGTTGACCAAAGCCTCTCTTCTCCCGTGTGGTTATTTTCAGCGAATCCTCTTTGTATACATCCCACACTAAATCAATTCTTTTAGCTGATTGAAATTGCTTTAATACAAAAGGAATGAAAGCAAACTGTGCGTACTCTTCAAACGTTTACCAAGTTTTGAGGTGAAATCATTTGAACAACAACAGCCCCGTCTAAAATAATAACATCGGGAGTTGGTGACTGAATTTTGGTAGTCGGCTTGATAAACTTTGTCAAGTCTGCTTTATTACCAGTGCGCAAACTTCCTGCTTGTGAGAGAGATGGTGGCCATGGTTGGTTCTAATATTTAAAGAAATCATCGGGATCCCCATTTCGATTTTGACTGGCAATATGCAATCTTGAAATTAAAGCACAGTCTAGTTTCAGAGTTTATACTTTTACTTTATCTTTTGACGAAACACTTTTTCTTCCTGTTTTAAACGTTGGCAGATTATCCTTTTTCAACGTTTCAGTAATACTCTTACTTCTCTCGACAAATCTTTCGTTAACAAATGCTTGATATTGTTCTTCTCCAAGGGTTACAACATTCTTCACCGTATCAACCACGGAACTGTTCATCACGTCATTTGTGTGGATGGCAAATAGGTCTTCGCTCTCTTGTACAAAAGGATTTCCCATCGTTTGAAAATTGGAGACGACGTTTGAGAGATCTTTATGAAATTTACTTTGAATAGATGGAGTTTGCTCATGGTGTAGCTGATTGTTCACATGTGTACTCATCTCGAATTCCCTAATTATTCATGCAATTTCTGGACCTGCAATCATCCATCTCCTTAAAGCTAAATGGTTTTCGGTTAGTTCCACAGCACCACCTTCTCCCTTTACCACTGCATTAATTTTCTCGTGAGCATGATCTAATGCTATAGCTGAATACTGTTTCTTCGTTTTATGCACCACAAACGAGCCCTTGGAGAACTGCTTAAAGACGTCAGGAAGTTTGAATGGAAGCTCCGACATATCACGGATATGGACAGAAAGCCATCTTGCATAATTAACATTGTCCAAAGTAAACATCCACGGAACAAGTTGCTTAATTGACTAGAAGTTTAAGGTAAAATTAGCTTCTCTAAATGATCGCACTAGTTGTAAGCAGAGTAATTCTATTTCCAAAACTCTGGTCCAATACAGAAACTGTGGATGATCTTTTGACATATCTTTTTTCCAAATGTGGAATTCTTTAGCTTCTCCATTGTCAACTTTCACGAAATGCTAACATTCAACTTTCTAGTCGTTATAAATGCGTCAAAGCACACTTAGTTTGTACTCGTTTGTATAATTGGGGATGATTGTCAATAACATGAGGCATTAAAATCATTTTAATATTACTGTTCTTGGTTAGGCGCTTTTCCAATATATTTAAGAAAGAGCAACAACAGTAAACAAAAGTGCCGAGTCAGCACTTTTAAAACACTTTTAATGTAGAATATTTCACAATGTATTGCTCAAAAGCAAAAGTTGTAATATAGTTTTTCTATCGTCTTTAGCTGTTGTATAAGAATATACAAGGAAATTGCAGATTTCTCTGAACTTTATTTTTACCGACGACGTCATCAAACTCGACATTCTCAGAACTCGTTTTAAATGTAAAATATGGGCAGGCCCTATATCAAAATTTTGTGTTTTTAGGCATAGTAAGAATGTGAGAAAGTTTCATACTTGTATTATCAAAGTGAAGGGTTAGATGGTATTTTTGTCATTAACAGCTGCACTATAATGAAACTGCTTATTCATAAGATCGCATATCGTCTGCTTATCGTCTTTTCGTAGAAATTGCTTATCGAAACTGCTTATCGTCTTTTCGTAGAAATTATTAAGATGCAGACTTGATCACATAATATTAAATGATGTTGTAAATTTCAGATGTACGTCTTTTTATAGAGTTTTGAGTTAAGCTTCTTGTTTCTTACATGCAGATGAATCCATACATTGTTTGGACTATTCTCGTCATACTTTATAAAAATTCTATAAAACTTTCGCTTCACCCATAAGTTGTTGATACTTATTAAGAACAGTCAATGTGTTCTTTTCACAAATTTAATCAAATTGATATTAGATGATTGAAAATGCTTTGATTACTGGTAAGTTTAATCTTGCTGTGTTGTATAATTAAGTTTTAAATAAAAACATATGAATATAGAAGTACTTGAGAATAGGAAAAATGTTTTGTAAAAATTTAAAGCAAGCATATTATGTTTGTGTCTATGGCCAAATTTAAGTTCTTATATCTTTTTTTAAATTTGCTTACATTACACATCAAAAATACCAAGATTAACATGATAACAACAACAAAATCATACGGTGTATCTTTGATTTACATAACAATCTAATCTCGTGATTATTTAAATTCCTTGTAAACCAAAATATTTCTATAAACCAACGTATCGACAATAAAGGTGTACATTAATTTTCTACGCAATGTAAAATGTAAAAACAAAACGAAAATATCTATCTTCTTCCATAAAAACGGTAAGTTATTGATAACGTGTTTGTATTAAAATGAATTTACGTGCATACGTAGATATCGGCCCAACGACTAAATTCTTATATATGACTGTTTGGCATGGCGAATTTATTTCGAAATTTGATATGTTCATGTAAACTCTGTGTTTGAAAACAATGCAGCTTTGTCATATTGTCTAATAATAATATATAATAACAATAATAATAATAATACTAATAATAATAATAATAATAATAAATAAGTTCATTGGTATAATAAGATTTACATAATACCCGTTTGCAAGCAAGTGAACAAAACTGTAATACAACCTTACAACTACGACGTTATTAGAAAACATTAAAGATTGTATAACAGTGTTCATGGATTTGTGACATTGTGACAAATTTCACAAATGAATGCAAATCAACGTTTAATTTACTTAATAAGATTACTAAAGGAAAAAGCCTTATAGAGCTATGCAAAATACAGATCCCTCGTTGTTCTGAATTTCTTTATTTAAAATGATCTGTTCCATCTGACACAGTCAGTCTTGTTATCTTATATAGATTATTTTCCTCCAGTCATTTTTATGGTCCAATTTCAATGTACTTCAGTTGACCAGATCAGTGGACTTTGAATTAAGAAAAAAAAAGTTTAGTGCGATTTATCTTGGTGCTTCCGAGAATAAAAATGTTAATTTGGTATTAGAATTAGATAAACTGACCTTTCATTGTAAGTTTTCTTTTACCCAAGTAATTATTTTAAAATTGCTCTACCATTTTACAATAAATAAACGTATATAGAAAAAAATACAAATGACTTGTTATATAAAACTTGTATAGCAATCTGAAATATAAATTAATTTTCGTGCAAACCCAAATACTTAGTCAAGTACTTCCTTATACCTATTGTCATCAATAAACAAAGTTTGCATCATCAATGGATGTTGTTTAAAAATTTACTTTCATTTCATTTTTTTAAACATATCTTAATTTAAAAGTGACATGGTTATTTTTGAAAATGTCTAGCTAGCTTAAATCAAACAAAAATTGCCAATTCTTACTACATGCATCCGAAGGAAATAAAAGAGCTTTGTTTCCCATCGAGTCTTAATATATCCGCAAAACAAAACACAGACGACACACAGTTTTATTTGTTATAACGAAAATCAATTTTTTTAATGTTGTGTTGCCCTAATGGGAAACAATACGTTTGTCTCAAGTCATGTGACTACGATTGAACCAATCACATTTATCATACCATGCACAAATATCGCAATGTTTTTAACATAACTTTATTTGATTTTAGTTTTTCACATTTTTAAGTTTTCAGGAAACTATTAATTTATACGTAAGTTAATCATAATTTTGTATACCAATTTTAGTTTTAATTTCAAGAAATGGCTTCACATTTAAATCTTACTGAGGAGGAAAACGGAACTCGTTTGAGCAAACTTTTAATAAACAAAGGAGCGCAAGCCTTGAAAGATACATTGCAATCTTTATTAAAACCATCAAATTTATCTGCTACACTAAATGATCCTTGTAAAAAGAGAATATTGAAATCAATAAAATTCAAAGTGATTGGCAAAGATCAATGGGATCTTCTTTACCCGTCAACTGCTTCACCAGACATTGGAAACTTTGATATTTCATTGTTGACGGTCTTATTGCGAAATATATGTGGTCTAACAGCACCAGCTGGTGGATGGGATAATTTTCCCTCTCACTCAGATACCTCAGTTTCAGCAAATATTGCAAGAATAAAGTATTATCGAAACAAAGTGTACGGTCACATCACCAAAACTAGTGTAGATGACATTGAGTTTAAGGACTTGTGGCAGGAAATTTCAACAGCATTGGTTGGTTTGGGTATTCAACAAACTGAAGTAGATGAATTGAAGGAAGCTCCTCTCAGTCTTGATGAGGCGAATTACATTGAAATGTTGAAAGACTGGCATAAGAAAGATGAAACATTGATCGAGTCGGCTGGGGAAATCAAAAAGATTGCTTTTGATACAAATAAGAAAGTTGAAAAAAACCAGGAAGATGTCAAAGTGATAAAAAATTATGTAGCTGACATAAAAGAAGAAGTGATGGAGACAAAAGCTGATGTAGCGGAAATAAAAGCTGATGTAGCAGAAATAAGGTCTCGTGAAAAAACTTCTTCAGATCTCGAAAAGCTTGGAAAGTGCGATTTCGATGGTCTGAAAGAAGATCTTAGTAAGAAATTGTTACAAGGTACTAGACAATGGTTATTTGAAAAACTCGACACTTGGTTCAACGATGAAGATGTTTCTAATGTCATGGTTTTGATCGCTGGACCAGGTGTTGGTAAAAGTGTGTTTTCTGCTGAGGTTTGTCGGCGGTATTCCGAAAAAAAGGAACTTGCTGCTTGCCATTTCTGCAAGTATAATCGATCGGATTATAGAAATCCTCGAATGTTGATAGAATCATTGGCCAGTAACATGTGTGATACAATATCCGGTTTTAAATCTCAATTGAATGAAGGATTGAAGAGAAAACACTCAAAAATAATGATTGCAGATGCATTCCGTGTTTTATTAAATGATCCATTGCATTCCTTAGAGAATGACAAACCAATGCTTTTGGTCATTGATGCATTAGATGAAAGTCAAGCTAATGGCAAAAGTGAATTACTAGACTTGATAGCGAAAGAATTTCGCCGACTACCTAAATGGATTAAAATTTTTATCACTAGTCGCCCAGAACTTCCTGTTCAAAATGAATTGAATGAAATGAATCCTGTCGAAATAAAAACTCAACCTCGTGATAAAAACAACGAAGAAGATCTGCATCAGTATTTGAAATATCAGTTAAACTATTGTCGCTCTGGGAACACTGAGTATTCTGTTTCTGACGACGTTTTAAGATTGCTAGTTGAAAAATGTGAAGGGTCTTTTCTTTATGCTTATTACGCGCATCAAGAGCTAAAATCGGTAGCTGTTGAACTGACCAAGGAAATTATTAAACAATTAGTTCCTCTTGGCTTAAGTGGTTTCTACAAGAATGAATTTCTTCGAGTAAAAACATTATTAAAAGAGATAAGTTTATCGACAAACAATATTGTTTTTGCAGATGAAAATTTTAAGAAGTTTCTTGAAGTGCTGGTGGCCTGTCGAGATTTTTTGCCCCAGTCGTTTGTTTTTAAGTGTTTAGGCTTACCTGATGATATCAAGTTTGAAGATAGCAATAAAATCTTTGAAATGATATCTCAAATTTTGCCAGCTTACGATGATCGTGTAACCGTGTATCACAAGTCTCTTATCGATTGGTTGGAATCAGATGGTTATAAAAAACATGAGTTTACAGTTGATTCTCAGTCCATAGTAAACGGGCATCAGTTATTGTGGCGTGCTTGTGAGAAAGAGTTTCATCACATTAAGTCGATAAACATTTTTGAAGATAAAATGAACACTGCTACGACTGAATATGCTTTGAAGAATGGGATATATCATATGATAGAATGTGGCAAAAATGTCGACTTTAGTTGGGCAGCAGATGTTAAAATTGTTTTTGCGATTTTAAAAATGAAAGGATTTGAAGCTTTACGGAATTGGGCGTCGTTAGCATTAGAAAAAGAGATGATTGGCCAGTGGCAGGTAATTGTAAAAGAAAGACGAGGTTTCTTGAGTAAGGATTTACTTCAGGAATTATCGGAATTATCACGCTATGAAAATACGAGGTTTATATTTTCAATCTTTTCACCCTGGTCATGTTATTTACAATTTATTGCAAATAGAATAGATGTTAGTGACGAGAAAAAATTATTAGCAAAGAATTTATTGAAACAAGGAAAATTTGTTTGGTTTGAAGATTTATTCTCGACTACTGAAACAAATATTCATTATTCGACTGTCTCCAGCAACACTAATACCTCCAGCATATTTGATACTTTCAGTCTTGATTTTTGGAGACATTTGCTTTCAAGACATCTTTGGATACGTCCTGAGAGGCATCCGTTTTTGTTAAAAAGTTGTTGTTGTTTTTCACCAGATGGATCGTTGTTGGTCGCCTTCGTTCGCACTGATTACATCAACATTGTTCTTTGGCACATTGAGCGTTATACCATTGTTCAAGTTATATCCACGAAAATGGAGGATACTTTAGGATGTTGGTGGTCGAATGGTTTACTGTGGATGTGGGATGGTTCTAATTATCTTAAGAAAATATCAATGTCATCGAACTGTTTTGCTGACGCAGAGGTTAAATATGTATACATTGGATTCAAACCAAAAGATTTTTTAACATTTGGTGACGTCTTAGTTTGCATTGACCAAGAAAATGTCGTTCGAGTTGTTAGAATTACCAACGGTGAAATACAATATAACAAGTGTCTTCCTATCGATAGTTTTGATTGTAGAGTAGCTGTATCACCAGATAATTCCGTTATTTTAAGTGTCAACAAAACAAAGTTTACAATATGGAAATGGAGAAACACAGACGACGAACTTTACCTTGAAGCTTGGCACACTGCAGAAACACCAGAAATACCCGTAGAGTCTTACCTTGGTATATCTGTAGAAGATTTCCGCTATAATTGCAGTTTTACAAATGATAGTAAACAAGCGGTCCTTTTTTTAAGTCCTAACGTGTTTCATTATTTTTTCTGTCTTATTGATGTGCATTCGACTGGGAATGTGAGCGCTGTTTTGTCAACTGAGGGAGATTATTTAAACGACGTCTTATTTGTTTATAAATCTTACTGCATTGGAATAGATGAATTTGGCTATTTGACTGCTCTAGATTTAAGGAGTGGTAAAAAATGCGCAGAGATTAGAATACGCGAGGATCGTACTGTCCCTCCTGTGATATATATGCATTACGAAACAGGAACTATCGCTGTAATATCAGATAGAGAATTCAATGGACACAAAATTCAATTTTTTAAAGTTAATGTTCCTGAATGAATTAATCATTGATCAATATAACTTACAAAAAATATTAAATGAAGACATTCATAAAACATTCATAAAACATTCTTACAAAAAACATGTTGATATTTCCTGATAAATACGCATAGACAATTATTGATGGTGTCTACAAAGAAGTAAAAAACATCGCATATGAACTTTATTTATATCATTTCACTGACCAGTAGAAAAATTTTCGTCTGCTGATGATTTGGTCAAGTAAAACACAGAAAGACAAAAACGAAGAACTGTGACTAAACATACTTGTTCCAGTTGATCATTCGAGCTCGAAACTTCCAGTATAAAAACTTCTTGGTAATCACACAATCCCGATTGCCAAATAGCAAGTTGAATGCTGTGACTTTAAAAAATAAAGAAAAATAAGCATGCAATGCGTACATGTCGGTAGCTTGTCAAGTATATTATTATATGACCAATTAATTGTTTAACCTTTTCTGCATTTTTCGAACGCTCTAGCTTAGATTCATGTCAGGTGACTGTGCTCAAGCCTTGCATCAAGCAAAGTAACGTAATTTAGATTTCTCTTGAATTTTTAAAGTTTTTTCACCAAAAAGCATTTTTGCTATAATTGTGTTTCGAAAAAGTTTTCTGACATGTTTAAGATAACGTTCATAGAACGTCATTCCCATAAACACAACACGCTTATATCTTGTATTAGATTACATTTGAAAGTAAACGCTTTGCGTTGTGCATTGTAAATGACGCTTCACAGTTCACGCATTCGAAATGTGTTATTACATTATTCATATTATATTTGAATGCGCGTGGATTCATTGTTTTAGTCTTTATGTAGAATGAATAAAACTCACGATACTTTTCCTACAAAGAAAAGAACGCGCAAAACGGTATTGTTCGCCATCGTTCGTATATCCGACTATCCCCGAGGATTACGACGGACAGACAGAAAGACAGACGGACACTTTTCAGTGTAGCATAGTGGTTAGGCGCGCATGCGCAGCGGCTACCCACAAAAACTGTTATCACGTACATAAGCCCATTGTAAAACTGCTGTTAAGGCTAATTTAGTATAATTTCTACTAAAACTAATTAAAACTGCTGTATAAGGCTAATTTCTTTGAATAAGGGAATTCATTTCCTTTAAATGAATTTTGTTTTCTGTTTTCACTTATATAGAATGAAATTCAAGATTATAAAGTCGGGTAATACGACGTGTAATTTAAATGTTAACTTGTGACAAACGTAAAGTAACAATAAAACCCTACTGATGATCCATTGAGACCATTGTGCTTTCAGTTATACCAGTAGAAATGTTAAAAACTGTTATTGACAATGAAACCTGCTTCGACAGCTATTTTACTAATTTGTCTGTAATCAATATTTTTATTACGCACTTGCATGTTATTTTGGAAGGAGCAGTCGCTTCCAACTATTATACAGAAAAGATATTTTCAAAGTCACAAATTTAATTTAAATACTAGAGGAAGGATTTGAAATTTAGTTGATGATTTTGTTGAATAAGATATTTTAAAAAAGAAAATTAGCACTGCTTATTATATATATTTTAAAAGAATCTATAGCTGCACTGCCTTGTTTCAAAGATTATTGATCGTGCTCCCAGAAGAAAAATTTGTTTTATCCTTCTCGTCTACACTTTTAGTAAAGGGAACATTTCACAAAATTCAAATACATATACTGTCATCATGCTAACTTATTAACTAGTCTAAACTCTTTTCATTTATATTAGACTTTATAAGAAGGCATTGTGGTTATAGTAATATTAATGGCGTTTATAATATGAAAATTATAAGAAATTACGTGTTCTAGAAGAGTAAAGTAAAAGAGGTGAAATTTACATGGTATTGGAGTTAATAAGGAATAGAGCATGTTCACCTTGAGAAAAATATTTGCCAAAAATAAAAAAAATGATTGCAATTATTATTAAAAAGCTATTTCAACCAGAAAATAATCACAAAAAAGTATAAAAGCTAAAAATAACCAGTAAATGTTTGGTAAGACCTTTCTCTAAAATAACTTTAAATGCATGGTTGTCCTTGTTGCAACCTTTTTTGGTTGTTTTGACCAATCATTTTTTACTTTTCACTTGTGACGATACGTGTGTCCTGTTCTTGGAGCTTGACAGAAAGACATTTATGGTTAATTAATAAAAACATTCAAAGATGAGAGTGAAATGAGAGTACTAACAAATGCTTGTAGTTTACAATAGATATTAGATCAACATCTTCAAAAAGTGTCAGCTGTAATTAAGTTTTAGATTGGGATCAAACATATATAATTTGGTGTGGACCTTTAAAATATGATTGATTTTAATTAGGACAAGTGCGAAATCAAAGTTTATACAATAACCAGATAAATTTGAGCAAATTCATTGGTCGAGAGCTATGATGTATAAGAAAACATGCGCACGGAATTGACGTCACAGAAAATTTCATGTTTATAAAAACAAGCAAATGGCGGATATATTTGAAAATTTATCGCAATGCCTCCCTGAATGAGAAAATAAAGATATTCACAAGAACCTAGATAAGGCAGTTAACGTATTTAAGCAAAAAAAGATGAAAAACTCGGTTTTCAAACATTAATTTGTACTTCGTCTTTCATAACAAAATTTCAACAAAATTGATCAGCCATTGCTTGTTTAATTTGTTAGCCGATCCCATTTTATGCTAGCCAATAGCATTTCTTCAATCCTATAGATTACGTAAGCGTGATATTTGCAAAATCAAGACTTTTCAATGTTCCAAGTGTTGGGAGACAAAGAAAACAAACTGTTTGACCGTTTAATTTGGGAATTTTTTTGATTTTATTATATAAACTCGCCCCGGTGGCTCGTTGCCACTTTTTTAGTTTTTATCACAATTGATGTCATATCCGTATATCTATAACTGTATAGACAAAGGTCAAATGTTATCTATTTGTTAAGTCTCTTTTAAATATATAAGGGATGTCTTGAATAAGTTCTGATTCAATAAAACGCTCAAAGTCAGTAACAATTACGTTCACTAAAACAGGACCTAGAGACAGGTCATGAAGACGTCATTTTTAATACTACACTGAGTACGTTAACAGTATAGCTCAAGCATTTTATTGTACTAGAATTATTCCTACAGTTAAAGGAAATTTTCTTTAGATTGCAATTAACCAATAAAATCTAGAGATATCAAGTTTATGAATATTTCATGACAGTAATGACACATACAATTTTTTTCCATGAAATTGCTATTTAGTAACAAGAAAACAAAATTTGAATTTGCAAATTAGAAAAATCAAAAATTGTTTTTCTAATTTAATCAACATGAGCTAGGTTTGTAAAAATTTCTTTCAAAAACGTCTAAAACGGTGGAATTTCCTTATTTCAAGATAACGATTGATACTTGATTACGTTATCAGTTCACCCAACCCCCTAAAACAAGATTCCTGGCTAGGCCTGCTTGCAGGAAAAATAGTTCTGAAATTCATTCAGAAGAATGTCTGTGAGCGTGAAACTTAGACAACTGAGCTAGCAGATTTGGACTTGCCTGTGCAAAGCAGGGATTACTGTTAGAAGATCAAGTAATTTCCACAATCATATGATGAGGCTATGAACTCTGCTGATGCTAAGCACTGGAGAGCAGCAATGTTAGATGAAATTAATTCTCTTAAGGACAATAATACATTTAGTTTAACCACCTTACCAGTGGGTAGAAAAGCAAGGGGGAAATGGTTGTACACTATCAAGGATATTACAGGCAAAGATAAGACCTACAAGGCTAGATTTGTGGCAAAAGGGTATAGTAAAGTTAAGAGCGTAGATTATTATGATAAATTTGCACCCACAGCTAACATGACTACAGTTCAAGTGTTAATGCATGTTGCTACACAATATGATTTGATTTTACAACAAATGGATGTAAAGACAATGTTATGAACTTTTTGTCTTGCCGAAAAGCAACTAGAACAACTGCACATGACCTTAACACAGCCATTTCTGCAATGTTACAATTGCATGGTGTTTCACTTAAAAAGCGTGTTGCCCTAACTTATGACGGATGTTACAATGGTTTGCATGCCATTTTGAAAGAGAAAATCGGAAACCACATCATTTGTGCTCACTACTATGCTCATACGCTAAATCTTGTCGTGTCCACTGATTCAGCTTGTGTTGCCAATAATGTCATTACACTTTTTTCCTCATTATTATGGCCCATAAAATGCACGAATTGTTTCAATTGTTTCAAAAGATTGAAAACCTCAAAATTTATTGTATTAAACATCTGATATTGATGTCTGAAGACCCAAAATGCTGACTTTAGGAAAGCGATGGAAATGGTCAGTAGCTCAATTTATAGAATTCAGATCATACGTGCTATAAAAAATTATCGAAGTTTTTGTGTTAGATGTCGAAAGCTAGTCGGCATCACCTCGTTTTTGAGGACTATTGGACGGAGAACAAGCGACGGATGAGCAGGCAGACATACAAGAGGCGACATGAAACACATTTTATAAATTACTAGATTCCATTCAATCTTCAATGAATTCAATCTTAAAAAAGTACAAGACATTACACAATCTTCAATCTGCAGTGAAAACCTTCTGTGATGCGTTCAATGTAGATTCGTACAGATACGTTACCGAGAAACAGTTTAAAAATTTAGCAGTTCTTAGCTAACAACTCAAAGTAACCATGATGATAGTGAAATCTTGAAAGTAGTGATTATGATGATAGTGACAATGTAAGTTTTTCAGATATTGAGAATCGTGAGTATTCAAACGATAAGTCAATGACCAAGACCGTCATTCTTAGGTGCCTTTAAGCTGCTTTGTTTTTCACAGTACTGTCTAGTCGACGCATACCAATGGTATACTGAAACGTTTGTAATCGTTGAATTTAATGGAAATTGATAGAGACTCCTTTCAATTTACTCTGGAAACCTCACGCACGTTTGCAAAACCATTGTTATAAATAGTCTATCGTTTCAAAAACAAATAACGTAACGGACATGTAATTACTTCATGATTGTGGTTTTTACTTGAGTTTTCTTTTATGCCAAAGATTTGTGTTTGTGCTTAACGAAAATAAAAATGAAAATACTTTAAGATAGATATAAGGAAAGATGAAAGGGTTGCAAAATTTAGTAAGGCCACCGCAGTCAAAAGCAACATCAACATTGCAAAATCAAATTTTTCTTTATCAAGATTCCTATAAAGATTTTTAAGATTAATTCGTTCGACTAGACGTGTCTAGCGAAAAGAATAATTTTATATTTAATAATATACCTTGAGATACTTCTCGTCTATGATTGGTGGATTCCAGTGCAGTTTATTTGCAATTGCACTGTGAAAATGTGCAATTGCACTGTAAAAAGCTGTAATTGCACTGTAAAAAAGTGTAAGCCCTCTAAAACAGGGGCGGATCTAGGATTTTTCAAACATCAGTCATAAAACGTCGAAGGCGCTCCGCACCTGGGGGGGTCTGAGGCATTCTCCCCTGAGAAATTTTGAATTTCAGAGCCTTGAAAATGCCATTTTCAGCGTTTTAGGGCAATACAAAATGTATTTGTGGGCATCGTTTTTGCGTAAAACAAAACATTTTGCTTACGTTTTTTTCAAAAAAAATAAAAATGAAGTGAACAATACTTGAATGTTTTGCCAAATATTTAGGCTCATTATCATGCCAAATATATGGCTCATTAGCATGTCTAGGAACGTAAAATTTATTTTACAATAATGCTATATTCAAACACAGATATAGCCTTTAAAAATTTCTACCAAGTTGTCAGGCATAGACCCCCCTAGAGACCCCCATTCAAACCTCTATGTAATGAGTTAAGTTAGAAATTTGGTACTACAAGTGACAGTTCATAGATCTAGACAAGCTCAGACTTCAAACCATGCAAGTTTGTTATAACCCTTTACCCATCTCCAAATCAGTGCCAGCAAATTCACCTTTTGAGAAAAAACTCAAAATTTTTTTCTGCCAAAGGTTAAGCAAAAATTATCAGAGTGACAATTTGCAGTTAAGGACAGCTTAATGCCATGTTTATTAGGCATTTCACTAGACTATTATCTCCTGTAAGTATATGCAAGGTGTGCTATATAGCAATCACTAGTAGCATTGTATTTGCAAATACAAACAGAATGTAACCAACATGTCTTTAATTATATAATTACATGAATGTTAAAATTGGTTCATGTGTCAGGCTTACTGGTTATGATAAATATCTTTTCATATGATCAAAGCTTGTTTAAATGTAAATCAGATATAATTTAGTTTAGAAATTATAATGATCATCAGAAAAATTACCTAGTGATCATGAAAAATACTTTGCTGTTTTGCCAAATTTCAAGGTTTATCTGCATACATAGAAAGGCATTTTTACTTTATAGAAAATGCTTTTCATACATCAATAGCCCTTTGGAATTTATGGCAAACAATCTGGTATGAGCCGTAGATTGACAGACCTTTACAACTCTACATGAGGTGTTCAGTTAGAAAAGGGGACAATATGTGACATGGGACAACATTCCACGTATGTGAAATACTCAGGTTTAATACCATTCCAGTCAAATTGTCAAAATAAAAAGCTTCATGGATCAGAAGACTCAAAATCACAGGTTATAGTAAACAGCTTCTCATGTAATCAATGTTAGTTTTCTCAAATCTTAAACAATATGTAGTATAACTGTCCAATGATTGAAAGATCAATGATCATAAACTGAAAAACCCCAAACATTTGTTTATGATAAAGTAAATAATAGTATGGCGCCTTATGGCTACAGATTTTTTGTCCATTGAAATATATTTGCAGGAATGTAGGATTTCGCTGCCGTATAACGGCCACGATTCCCCAAGCACTAAAGAAATCATAGCTAAAAGTCCTTCGTCAACAACAATTTTAGAAGCATCGATCTGCTTACCATACGCCATATTGACATAAATCGCATCACACACTCGCATAATTGACTTTGATATATTACATTGATGCATACACTTCACTTGTCCTTTACTTACGATTTTGGATGTAAATTTCTGCTGATAAAACTCAAAACAATGTTGGCTTTCTTTTGAACATCAATGATTGAAATGTCGCTCGCGAGATCGTCTTTGCCAAGCATTTAAATATTATCCATAAATTTCCACCCTCTTGAAAAAATTCACATTTTGGACAGCAGCATTCATGTCAATATATGAATTTGCAAAAGATTTCCATAAATTCCATCTGATTGTAGTTTAGTTTCTATCATGCTTATAAAAATTACTATAAAACGATCAAACATTCAATTCAGACAGTGAGCTTGACTATGTTAGTTCAGTTGGCTATCAGTCGAAATCCGTCAAACCAATCACAATAAAGCAAAAATTCAAATGAACCAATTGTAAGATAGCAATTGGACTCCCTTATACGTCCGGCCACCCTTATTATCAGTCGAGACCATTCCAGACTGTCCACTGATCTGGCTATTGACCAATAAAATAAGCGTTTTTGACGTTCATAGACTCCTTTATCCGTCGAACCAGTCAAGCCACCCCGCTTATCAGTCGGTTATTCCAGGTCAATTAAAATTCAACTGATCTGGTTACCAAGGAGATATTCATTGATTAATCATTAGTTTTCAATAATAAATAAAGCTGGATTTTTATCACGAAGTAAATGCGATAATAAAGTAAGAATAATTAATTAATTTTTAACTAATATGAATAGGTAATTTTTGAGTTTCAAACATCAGTCGCGCGACGGATTTGACATACTCTAGATCCGCCCCTGCTCTAAAAATACTGCAACCTGATAGTCCTGATTGCCTGAAAAGCAGTCTAAAAGCAACATAACGATAGTTGTAAGTAAACGGAGATTTTCACAATTGCAATCGTTTGAAATTTAAGAATTACAAAAGAATGCAAAGAATAAAAGCAACATAAAAGCAACATAAGCACAAGCACATATCTATGTCTTCGCCATCGATAAACACCCTTTTTGTCTCATTGTCAGACAAAGACTTGACTCTTTGAACCAATGGAATGCAATCATCACCATATGTACTTGTATTTTCATCATCATTTTCATCTGCACTTGTTACAGAATTACAAAGCAAATCAATGTATCCATCATTATCAGCAATTAGCTGGTATTCATCATCAGATGATTCTTCACTGAAATCAATTTCACTAGTGTTGATATCATCTATTACCTGCCTCTTTTTATTTATACTCTAGAAATTGAAAAATTAAAAAGTAGTTATGTAGGGAAATAAATACACCAGCAAATGTGTTGACTAAACATAACCCAAAATCATTCATAATAAAATTATACTAATAGTATTTCAAAATTCTAGCTTAAGACCTACATATATTGTTCAATTTTTTTTTAATTCTATTAAATAACAATTTTCTTAATAATTTAGTTAACTAAACATTCAAAAATAATAAAGAATTCCATCGGTGTAACAATTGTAATTCCATGTGTCATTAATCAAAATGGCATTCAAATGCCCATTGTAACAAATTTGACACACAACTATTTCCATGTATTTTTTTCGAAAGAAAATATATAATCAAAAAAAGTCTAAACTAATTTCATAAGCTTGTGAGTCAATTAAAACGATTCAATATATAATATCACAGTAACTTACCTTTTATACAGTGTAATTCTCGCATTTTCTTCACAATATATAATATCACAGTAACTTACCTTTTATACAGTGTATTTCTCACATTTTCTTCACCCGATTTTCACTTCGCGTATTTTAAAAATGACTGCCATGTTGAAATTATTTTTTTCAAGCCCAGTCTTCACAATAAGCATTATCAGCTCATTAATAATATTAACTAAGGGTCAAATGTGTCACTAAGCGCATTTTTAAGGCGAAATATAATACAGTATGGAAGCACTAGCTCTATAAATATACGTGTGACAAATTTGTCACACGGGGCATTTAAGGGTTAATTATACCATAATTTTCGTAAGCCTATGAATTTGTGTATATATATATATATATAAAAGATAAAAGTTTCTCCGGATTTTAAATGATTTTTATTGAGCTTTCGACTCGTTGCTTCGAGCCTTCATCAGAATGAGGATATTTATTTACACGTGCTTTTAGCTTGGAGACGTTTAGAGCGTCTAATTGGATTAGTGGGTGGATTAATGGGATTGGATGGGGTGAAATGCGTTGCCATGGGTTTTGGTGTATTGTTAATAAGATTGGTGTTAATAATATTAGAGTGTAGTGTTTTAGTTTTGGTGCTGTTTGTTGTTTGTTTGTTTTTAAACTAACAATCTTCAACAACATCATGAACAGTTCCCACTACTATATACCACGTGAGCAAACGAAATTCAAATAGATTCAAATAGATAGAACTCCTTTGTTGTTAAACAAAATGCTTCTTGAATAATAACAATCGTCACGCAAAAAATCAGAAATATTGACTGAACCGAAGAAAAGATACCGTCAATTTCAAAAACCTAGACGATAAAAGTGTAAAAGAAAATGAGACATGGTTTCCACAACAATGCAAACAGTTATCCTATTCAATCATCTTTAGACTTTATTGTCATTCTTATCATACATAGTTCTTATTTCCAAAAATTCAGTGTGTTTTATTAAAAATAATGTTGTAAGTGAAGGCTACCTGAAACACCCAAGTCTCGGGTGAACTGTAGATAGCTTCCTTAAAGGCATGACAATAAGCTTAAAATCTCTCACTGGAACGTTATCTTATTTACCTTATCATTGCACCGCAGAGGTGATTTCCCGCAGTTTTTGGCTTCATAAAAAGGTAGCGTTCCAGTTGTATTTATCTCAATGGCATCATCTATTCGCTAGCAAAATGGTTTGATACCAAGTTTTATCTATATATAGTGACGCAAGTCGTCTATATAGCCAGCACATGTAAATTTGCATTCCCCATTTTATGGTTTCGCTGCTATGAAAAGAATTCAATATTTCACATCATATTGCCGAACATCACCGAATCACAAAGCACAACATTGACTGGGACTCGGAAAAATGCATTACTTACAGTACTGACTATAGACAATGGCTTGCATTAGAAAGTTGGTATACCGACTTGGAACAAACCTTCCTGAACAGATCACAGCAATTACCAGCACCTTACTAACGACTTATTCACAATATAAACAAACGATCAACTAAAAACATTACACTTCACACTAAATCACAAATACAATACACAATTCACACCCACACATTTCCTGTACACACAATACAATGACGTAAGAAGCAGATAACAAATACGGCTTACCTGACGTTTACTCCTCATTTGACTCTGAAGACGACTACCGCTAAGGTTGTCAAAACATTAATCAACAAATACAAAAACAGTCCTTCTCGGGACCAACCTGGACGATCAACATTTACAAACATGTAACGATACTCCCGGGTTCAAACCATTTACTTTATATTATTATGTGCAATAATTTAAATTTTATCTAAACATGGCTGTTATCAAGATCTTTTCCCCATTCATATAGTTATCTATCTATTTATCTTATTCATAACACAGATGATGACATAAAAACGTTTTACTAGGTATGTCTTTAGAAATTGCGCCTACTTTGAGAGAAAAGCTCACTTCTTCACGTGATAGTACACGTGACGTTTTTCCCGTCTATAATTGTTAAATTTGTTGTAATATAGAGTATTTAAAATATTTTTTTGCGTCAAAAGTTCACAAAATGACAAAACTTTGCATGATAAACTGTCAAGTCCAAACGCTATCACTTTTGAAGTATCTCTGATTACTGAGATGTGAGAAAATTATTCGAAAGTAAAAACTTCGAGGTTAATTATTCTGAAATTCCCTTTTTAAATAAAGACACCCCCCCTAAAATCTTCATCTCTACAACTTCTACATGCTTCTCATGCCCCTGATCAAATTATTTGTTTATCCGGATCAAAAGTTTAGAAAATGACAAAACTTCACTGACCACGTTTCAAAGTTGGAACACTAACAGTTTTAAAGAAGCTATATTTATCGATTTTCTTAACTTCCTGATGTACGAATCTTTAATTTTCGAGCTATCTTATTTGTAAACAGCTGGCTGCCCTGTCTTCCTTTATGATTATTTCAGTTAGTTACATGTAAGTCAGGATGTTCAATAATTGAAATAAATAATAGTAAACTGTGAAAGGTTTATTGGCATAAAGCTTACAAGTAAAAACTTCTTTGTTTTACTTCAGTTATAGCTAAAATAAAAATTTGCAATTCATATTCTGTTGGGTATGAACAGAATTAAATATTTTACAATTGAAACAGCAGGTGATTAAAATCAAGCACTTATTGAACATTCCTATTTCTTTATTATCAAGCACTTATTGAACATTCCTATTTCTTTATTATCAAGAAAAAGCAAAGACATCATGTAGATGGTTGCGTCTTCTTTAATGGTTCTAAATTTTTTAAGGTATGTTGATTATAAAGTTTACCTATCATAGTGTCAATACTTGTTCTTATGTCTAGAATTTTGTTAAATTTGTCATAAAAAACCTAAATGTCATTTTCGTGATGGAATTCGCACTTCATATGTTTTATATTAATACGTCTGTTGATTTTGGTGGGATTTTCCCAATAACACATTGAATAATTTATCATTTCAAAATGCTGACCTTTCTTGCATTATCACCAACAATTAATTTTATTAGTCTTTTCAAATATCATTGGTACGGCAGGGCTAAAAAATCAACAAGATGAATCGAAATTATGACACGTCAAAGAATTTCAGTTATGCATATCAGTATGTGCAATAATTTTAATTTTATGTAACATGGCTTTTATCAAGAACAATTTTTTCCCTCATTCATACAGTCATCCATCTATTTATCTTATTCCTAACACAGTAGATGACATAAAAACGTTTTGCTTAGTATGTCTTTAGAAATTGCGCCTATTTTGAGTGAAAAGCTCTCTTCTTCACGTGATTGTGCACGTGATTTTTTTCTCGTCTATAATTGTTAAACTTGTTGTAGGGTAGACTATTTAAAATATTTGCTTGCGTCAAAAGTTTACAAAATGACAAAACTTTGCATGATGAACTATCAAGTCCAAACGCCATCAATTTTCAAGTATCACTGATTACTGAGATGTGACAAAATTATTCGAAAGTAGAGACTTCGAGATTAATTACTCTGAAATTCTCTTTTTAAATAAAGACCGCCCCTAAAATCTTGATCTCCCCAACTTTTACATGCTTCTCACGCCCCTGATCAAATTATTTGTTTGTCCGGATCAAAAGTTTACAAAATGACAAAACATCATTGACCACGTTTCAAAGTTGGAACACTGACAGACTTAGAGAAGCTACATTTATCGATTTTCTTAGCTTCCTAAATTATAAATCTTTAATCTTTGAGCTATCTTACTTGTAAATAGCTGGCTACCCTGTCTTCATTTATGATTATTTCAGTTAGTTTGCATGTAAGTCAAGATGTTCAATAAATGAAATAAATAATAGTAAACTGTGAAAGGTTTATTGGCATAAAGCTTACAAGTAAAAACTTCTTTGTGTTTGCTTCAGTCATAGCTAAAATAAAAATTTGCATTTCATATTCTATGGGTATGAACAGCATTCAATATTTTACAATTGAAACAGCAGGTGATTAAAATCAAGCATTTATTGAACATTCCAATTTCTTTATTATCAAGAAAAGGCAAAGACATCATGTAGGTGGTTGCGTCTTCTTTAATCTTTTTAAGTTTTTCAAGGTATGTTGATTATAAAGTTTACCTATCATAGTGTCATTGTTTGTTCTTATGTCTAGAATTTTGTTATATTTGTCATAAAAAACCTGAATGTCATTTTCATGGTGGAATTCGCACTTCATATGTTTTATATTGATACATCTGTTGATTTTGGTTGGATTTTCCCAATAACACATTGGATAATTTATCATTTCAAAATACTTACCTTTCTTGCATTATCACCAACAATTAATTTCATTAGTCTTTTCAAATATCATTGGTACTGCAGGGCTAAAAAATTAAGAAGATGAATAAAAATTATGACATGTCATAGAATTTCAGTTATGCATATCATTATGTGCAATAATTTTAATTTTATTAAACATGGCTTTTATCAAGAAGAATTTTTTCCCTCATTCATATAGTCATCTATCTATTTATCTACTTCCTAACACAGATCATGACATAAATAAGTTTCGTTAGGTATGTCTTTAGAATTTGCGCCAACTTAGAGTGAAAAGCTCACTTCTCCGCGTGATAGTACATGTGCTTTTTCTCGTCTATGATCGTTAAATTTATTGTAAAATAGACTATTTAAAATATTTGTTTGCGTCAAAAGTTCACAAAATGACAAAACTCTGCATGATGAACTGTCAAGTCCAAACGCTATGAATTTTGATAAATCTCTGATTACGGAGATGAGACAAAATTATTCAAAATTAGAGACTTCGAGATTAATTACTCTGAAATTCCCTTTTCAAATAAAGACTGCCCCTAAATTCTTGAGCCCCCCAATTTTTACTTGCTTCTCATGCCCCAGATCAAATTCTTTGTTTATCTGGATGAAAAGTTTACAAAATGACAAAACTTCATTGACCACGTTTCAAAGTTGGAACGCTGACAATTTCAAAGAAGCTCTGTTTATCGATTTTCTTAACTTCCTAAATTATAAATCTGTAATTTTTGAGCTATCATACTTGTAAAAGGCTAGCTGCCACGTCTTTCTTTATGATTATTTCAGTTAGTTTGCATGTAAGTCAGGATGTTGAATAATTGAAATAAATGATGGTAAACTGTGAAAGGTTTATCGGCATAAAGCTTCCTAGTCAAAACTTCTTTGTGTTTATTTCAGTCATTTGCATTTCACATTCTATTGGATATGAACAGAATTCAATATTTTACAATAGAAACAGCAGGTGATTAAAATCAAGCATTTATTTAACATGCCGATTTCTTTATTATCAAGAAAAAGCAAGGACATCATGTAGATGGTTGGGTCTTCGTTATTCTTTCTTATATTGTTAAGGTATGTTGATTATAGAGTTCTTCTATCAGTGTGTCATTGTTTGTTCTTATGTCTAGAACTTTGTTGTATTTGCCATAAAAAACCTGAATGTCATTTTCGTGGAGGAATTCGCACTTCATATGTTTTATATTGATACGTCTGTTGATTTTGGTGGGATTTTCCCAATAACACATTGGATAATTTATCATTTCAAAATACTGACCTTTCTTGCATTATCACCAACAATTAATTTCACTAGTCTTTTCAAATATCATTCGTACGGCAGTGCTAAAAAGTCAACAAAATGAATCAAAATTATGACACGTCACAGAATTTCAGTTATGCATATCATTATGTGCAATAATTTTAATTTTACCTAACGTGGATTTTATCATAAAGAATTTCCTCATTCATACAGTCATCTATCTATTTATCTACTTCCTAACACAGATGATGACATAAAAACGTTTTGTTAGGTACGTCTAAAAATTGCGCCCACTTAGAGTGAAAAGCTCACTTCTTCACGTGATAGTACACGTGATTTTTTCTCGTGTATAATTGTTAAACTTGTTGTAAGATAGACTATTTAAAATATTTGCTTGCGTCAAAAGTTCACAAAATGACAAAACTTTGCATGATGAACTGTCAAGTCCAAACGCTATAAATTTTGAAATATCTCTAATTACTGAGATGACACAAAATTATTCAAAATTACAGACTTCGAGATTATTTACTCTGAATTTCCCTTTTTACATAAAGACTGCCCCTAAATTCTTGAGCCCCCCAATTTTTACTTGCTTTTCACGCCCCTGATCAAATTCTTTGTTTATCCGGATGAAAATTTTACAAAATGACAAAACTTCATTGACCACGTTTCAAAGTTGGAAGGCTGACAAATTTCAAAGGAGCTCTGTTTATCGATTTTCTGAACTTCCTAAATTATAAATCTTTAATTTTTGAGCTATCTCACTTGTAAAAGGCTAGCTGCCCCGTCTTTCTTTATGATTATTTCAGTTAGTTTGAATGTAAGTCAGGATGTTCAATAATTGAAATAAATGTTGCTAAACTGTAAAAGGTTTATTGGCATAAAGCTTCCTAGTCAAAACTTCTTTGTGTTTATTTCAGTCATAGCTAAAATAAAAAATTTGCATTTCATATTCTATTGGATATGAACAGAAGTCAATATTTTACAATAAAAACAGCAGGTGATTAAAATCAAGCATCATTAAACATTCCAAATTCTTTATTATCAAGCAGAAGCAAAGACATCATGTAGTTGGTTGTGTTGTCTTTAATGGTTCTGAATTTGTGAAGGTATATTGATTTTAAACTCTATCTGTATTGGTCTTTTTTGTTGTAATCTATCACAAATCACTTATATCAATAATTTCAGTACTACGCATGTGTTATACGTACAACATTTATTAATTTTGATGAAATTTTTAAACAAACGGTAATTTATTTGGACATTTTACCATTGGAAAGTACGGAGCTTTCTCATTTTAACATAAACTACACATTCCAAAAGTTTATTTAAATATTATTTGTATGTAGAAGCTACAAATTGAAAAGATGAGTTAAAATGATGACACGTCAAAGAATGTTAGATACGCATGTCATTATGTGAAATAATTTTACTTTTTGTAACATGGCTTTTAACAAGACGTGTACAAATTTTACTTTATTTTTAATTTGTTTCGTCTTATGCAAATTACAAATCTTCTGTAAGCATATTCTGAATTGTCAACCAAAAACAGTCAACATAATCTTAAAGATCTTTTTGTGAATCTTGCTTGTCGCCCAAGCAATATTCCTTTGATTATGTAGAATGAATGCAACAACTCAAGCCTGATGAATAACGAAATTTATTCACTTGCATTTGTTTATCTCATACATATATTGCTCACTCACTCAGACTATATCTTCATCCCATTCATAACAAAACATCACTCAAAATTTTCCAAAGTCTATAGGTTAACAAAAATTATATTAATTAAGGAGATTTTGTCTCTCTGTCAGTAGAACAATCAAATAAAACAACTTATTTCCAATACACTCCCCCGGAACATCTGAAGATAAGATGTATATCTATATGGATTGCTGATCTAGGGAGCGTTTCAAGTCTCTTTGTTTTCTTCGTCAGCAATCGATTTGATGATCCCCGCTGCATTTTCAGCTGCCTTACGCTTTGGCTTGAATGGTTTAGCGTCTAGATTAAAATCAGGTCTCTCTTCATGGCTCTGTCGATCACAAGCTAATTCCATTGGGTAAAGCAATTGAGCTGGTCATTCTAGGTATCTATTTGGCGTTTTCAACATTACCCCACTTATCACTCCATCTCTTCCAGAACATGTCTCTATAACCATCTCAAGAGGCCATTTCTCTCTATTCTTTTCATTGGATTTGATCAGCACGCGTCTCCGACGTTTGCAATGAACTTTTTAGCCCCATGACTCATATTATGTCGTTCTCGCAGTGCATTAAGGCATTCTTTCGACCATCTTTTCTACAAGGCTTGTTTGCAAGATTTCAAATATCTTGCCTTCTTACGTAAGTCTGAATCACTTTCAACCCATAATTTCTGTTCTGGCAGATGATTGGCTCTCTGGATAAAAACAGCTCGGGTGTCAACACCGGCAGTTGAACATTGTCTTCAACATAACTGAGCGGTCTTCTATTGATTTGCAGTTCAACGTCAAGTATCACTTCACACAGTTCTTCCCACTTCAGATTTGCGCCTCTAATTGCCTTATACATCGCTTGTTTAACAATTCCTACCAACCGCTCGAACTGTTCTCCCCACCATGGTGCTCGGGACAAGTTAAACGGTCATTTAATGTCAAATTTCTCCAAATAACCTTGAAGACGTTCCTCCTTTCGTAAAGTATCAAACCACTTCCTAGTTTTTTTGAAGGTGCTCCATTGTCTGAATAGATCTTTATGGGTTTTCCCCTCCAAGCCGTGAACCGTTTCAAACTTGGTATGAACGTGGAAGCAGATAGGTCTGGCATCATGCCCAAGTACACTGTTCGAAATAAACTACATGAAAATAACGCCATATATGCTTTCCAATCCTTGCTTGACTTCTTTTTGTAAAGTATTGGTCCCGCAAAATCTACGCCAATTACCTCGAACGCTGTTTTGCCACAAGTCCGGTCTTCGGGTAACTTTCTAGGAGGGGGTGTGGGAACTGATGTCGCTCGATATCTTTTGCAACCAAATCACTCCTTTCTAACTTTCTTTACAAGGCTTCTTAACTTAGGTACCCAATACGTCTCTCTTACAGCAGCCATTGTCAACCCAACACCTCCATGTAACGTTTCACGATCCAATCCTTCCACCACCCTTTATGCGAGCAAGGAATCTGTGAGAAGGTAGATAGGATAGTGACCCACAATTCGGCCACGACATTCTAGAATCCCTTCTGTATTGCGCGTAAGACTAAATTCTTTGTATTGGGGCTCGTACTTGGGTTGTAATTGACCTTGCTTTTGGGCTTGTTTTACAAATTTCATGTTAGTCTCTTCAATCTCGGTAAGGATAATGATCCTGAAGAGCCTTAACGACACTCTTGGTGCCCGTTTAAGTGAGCATTTTCTTAATAACTGTTCCAGAACATCACCACTGTACTGTTTTGTTGTCATTGCGATAGTTTTTTGAGAAACTGTCTCTTCTGCTTCTGTTGCAGTAGATGGAGTTGTGGTTATATTACTTGGCCATCTGCTCATATCAGATAACCATTCTGGACCGTAGAGCCACGTCTAATTTAATTTTCCTCCTCTGCTGGCCAAATCTGCAGGATTTTCGGATGTGGGCACATGTTGCCATTTAATTTAGGATGTAGGTGTATCTTACGGACACGGTTTCAGACAAACTGCTTATACTGGCCACGTCCAAGGATCTAATGCAAGGCGACAGTGCTGTCTACCCATGCAAAACTTTGCAGCCGTTGTAAATGATCCAAAGCGTTTCGCACATTCTCAAGAAGGTTCGCTGCCATGTGGGCTGACACAAGTTCTAGCCATGGAGCAGTTAGGTCCTCTTTAGACAAACGACTTTTACCAGCAACTAGAATTTGAGTAGTTCCCGATTCTTGACGAATAACTGAGTACACTGCAGCTCCTACACCTTGTGTGCTAGCATCCCCGAATGCATGCAGCTTAACGACTTGATTGCTTCTCGGAATCCAGCTAATGATCGCGGAACACATACCTCACACGGAAGACTGCTCTTCCAGCAATCCCATCGATACTTCAAAGAATGACTTAGCTGTCCATAAAAAAAGAGCTTCTCCTTACAGATATCGCGATAAATCATATTTCCATCTAGAGTTAAGAGTGATGTAATTCCCAAAGGGTCATAAACCTGAACCAATCTACTCACCACTTCTCGTTTCGTTTTTGCCAAATTCTCTGATGGAATCACTATGGAAATCTCGTCACTTTTCTTTTTCTATAACAGTCCCAAAACGTTAGATTCTCCAGTTTTTGTTCCAAGTTGTTGTTTTGCTAAAGATTCTTTTCATCATCCTTTTCTTTTTCATCCGCTTCAAGCTCATGGGCATTTGAGTTCCACTTATGCAAATTGAACTTAAAGTCGTTGAATATATTGATTGATTTCCTTTTATTTTTCTTGGCTTCATCTACTGTTTGTTCCCCACTAAGCAGATCGTCTACATATATAGACTTCTTCAGTTCCTCAACGATATCTGGCATCTTTCTTTTCCAAGTTTCTAGGTGTTGCTCTAACACTCCCCCAAGTAGAAATGGAAGGCAGGTTAGGCCAAGACTCTTGTGAATCTATATGTCAAGGGCTTAGGTTTACTGTCAATCTTTCAGTGTAACCGTAAGGCATCTCTTACTTGTTCTTTTATCCGGATCTGAAGGAATGCCTTTTCTATATCTCCACAAAGTGCAACTAGAAATGAGTAATTATGAACAAAGAGGCTCCAAAGCTTGTTCTGTAACGGCGGGCCTTGGTAGAGGCAATCATTCAAGGATGGAGCACTTGGAGTCACTCGGGCGGATGCATCGAAAACTACACGGATTTTCGTTGTATGTGCAGCGTCACGTATCACGGGCTTATGAGGTAAATAGAACTCCCTACCAACTGGGGGCTCGGTTACAAGTTCAACTACACCTTTGCTGACTTGTTCCTCGATAGTCTTGGTATACTCACTGGCCATGCCTTCACGGTCTAATCTCTTTAAAAGAAAGTTGAGGCGTCGCAAACTTCCTTCCTTGTGGGATGGTAAGGGAGGATGGTTACCCCGCCACAGTAGACCAGACTCATATCAACCTTCCGAACTCCTGACCAATTGTTCCTTAAAATCTTCATACACTGAGATTTGATCGTGTTCTGAGTTGTCAGCAAGTCCTAAAACATTCAACCGGCACAACTTCTCATAATCCTTTTTAGTGGTTTGTGTTAGTAGCATATGATTGTGATCAAATTTCTTCCTAGGGACATCACAAACCATCCCAGCTTGGTCAACTCCGCGATATGTTCGCCATCTTTGCCTAGTCGGGGACGGTTCTTTGTTTTTATTCTGGCATACTCCCCTCCCCCAAGAACGACATGTACTGGAAACTGAGCCTTCGTGTCACCATCTTGGATATCAATCCCTTTTAAGTGTGAGTATTTGGAAATCATATGGCTGTATTTGGGGTATTTTACTGATAAAAGTTCACTTTTTCCACTTTTATTAAATCTACTTCCATACCAAACTCTCCATCGAGTGACTCCACTTTAGTTGCATAGGTCTCTAGATATTCTACACTACTACTCAGGAGCAAGTCTACTTGTTTGGTTGTTATGTCAACAGGTTTTTAGGCCAAGGACACTTACCAACCTTGCAGAATCAATTAATGCTCTACACATGATGCCATTAACTTTCACTGTCAAGAATGGAAAGACTCCTTCGTTTGTTTTTGTTGCGGTCATCAGGGTCTTCTTCCCCACTGCTTGGTCACGCAAAGAAGTATGATGTCTTCTCTCGCAATGTTGACATGTTATTTTACTGGTACAATCTGCAGCTCTATGCCCTTCTCCGGTACAGTTGAAACCGTGGCGCTTTTTTGCCATTACTTGTTTTCTTTCTTTGATATCTGTTACCTTTGAGCAGTCGGCTGATTTGTGATCCTTTGCATCGCAATAGAGACATTTACGCTGACCCAAATTGATGTTGAATAGTTTTTCGCGGAGCCGGTTTCGACTTTCCCTCTTTTCTCCTTCACATATAGGATTTCGCATAGTCCACAAGGTTAAGGCTTCTATTAGCTTATGATAATCCCATTCATCCCAGTTGGGATCTTTGTGAACCAAGTCGCTTCTTATACCAGACAATTTGTCCAATGTCATTGCCACACTTCCATTGATCTGCTCTTGTTCTCCCATAGGATCTGTACGCAATAGGTGAGTCTTTCGCAGAATTAATGCACCTTCTGTACATTGGCCTCTGGTATGTCGGGTAAGTCAAGAATTTCTTTGGTGTAGGATTTAATCACTTCTGACTCCTTTCCATACTTAGACTGAAGTATACTTTTTGCTCGGTTAGTTGTATCCTTCACTAGTGAAAGGTAGTGCTTCTATGGAATACTTGACATGTTTTTCAAGCAACTCTCTGCAATATGAAAATTTGGTTACATTAGAAATAGTTGATTTGTCAATGGTCTCGCTGAACTGGTTCCAGAATCTTGGCCAATCTTTGTAGCTTCCATTAAATTTTGAAATCACTAGCTTTGGTAGTTTAGCTTCCAGATTCCCACTAATTGTAGAACTCATTGCTCCTGTCTCTTCTAGTTTGTCCCTCTTGGACTCTTCCAATTGTGTCTTGTAGTGTAGCTTGGTTTCATACAACTCTTTCTCGACATTTAACTGTTCCTTTCTTAAATGTGCTTTTTTACTTTCTTCTACCTCCATAAGCCATTTGCATAATTTTTCCATTGCATTGTCAGCTTGACCGATGGTATTTTCTATTAACTCTTCCCACTCGGAAATGCTTTCGACTTTTTAGCCACTTGCTATTTTCAACCCTTCAACTGTACGTTTGGCGGTATCTGCTTCTTTTACTAGTTCATTTAACGCATCATGATGTCTTTCGATTCTCCCGTGATTATCTGACGTAAGAATTCTCTCAGTTTTCCCGCAAGTGATCAAAATATGCTTGAGTTTTGCTTCAAGTTGCAGCTTTGCAGCTTTCTGCTTCGACACGCTTCAATACGAATTCTTGTTCTTGATCGAACTGTTTAACTGATCCCGTCGGAGGTGCCCTAATTTGTGAATCTTGCCCGTCGCCTGGGCAATATTTCTTTGATTATGTCGAATGGATGCAACAACTCAAGCCTGAAGAATAAAGAAATTTATTCTCTTACATGTTTATCTCATACATACATGTATAATACTCACTCATTCAGACTATCTCTTATTTCTTATTTCCAACAATCTTTGGTCAATTTAGATTTGTATGTCAACGTACAACCTTAATATTATAAGGAATATAGGACAAGAATATTTACATCGAAAGAGAATATGAAGTTTATTATCTAGATCTTTATATTTTGCAAATTTTAAGTTAGATAACTATGGATAAATTATTTGCTACAGGTTTGCATGATCTCTATTTCTGTCATCGATCATTTTTTATATGAATAACATTTGTTCATTTTAATGGGGTTTTTAAAACAACCACAAACAAATTTTAGATAATTTAAAGTTGGAAAACACTGAACTTTCCAGCATCATCGCTAGTAATACGATGTAATTAATCAAATATTCCAAAAGTTCATTTTAAATATTATTCACACAACAGGTCTAAAATATCAATAGGATATGTCAAAATAATGACACGTCACAGAATTTCAGTTATGCATATCATAAATGCGGAATGTTTTAACTTTATCTAACATGGCTTTTATCAAGAATTTTTTTCCTCATTCAAACAGTCATCTATCTAATTATCTTATTCCTAACACAGATGATGACATAAAAACGTTTTACTAGGTACATCTTTAGAAATTGCGCATACTTGGAGTGAAAAGCTCACTTCTTCACGTGATAGTACACGTGATTTTTCCCGACTATGATTGTTAAACTTGTTGTAAGATAGAGTATTTAAAATATTTGTTTGCGTCAAAAGTTCACTAAATGAAAAAATTTTGCATGATGAACTGTTAAGTCAAAACTCTATCAATTTTAAAATATACTGATTACTGAGATGTGAAAAAATTAATAAAAATTAGAGACTTCGAGATTATTTACTCTGAAATTCCCTTTTTAAATAAAGACTGCCCCTAAAATCTTCAGCCTCCCGAGTTTTACTTGCTTCTCACGCCCCTGCTCAAATTATTTGTTTATCCGGATCAAAAGTTGACAAAATGACAAAACTTCCTTGACCACGTTTCAAAATTGGAACGCTGACAATGTCATAGAAGCTCTGTTTAGGGATTTTCTTACTTTCCCAAATTATAAATCTTTAATTTTTGAGCTATTTTACTTGTAAAGGGCTGGCTGCCCCGTCTTCGTTTATGATTATTTCAGTTAGTTTGCATGTAAGTCAGGATGTTCAATAATTGAAATAAATAATAGTAAGATGTGAAAGGTTTATTGGCATAAAGCTTACAAGTCAAAACTTCTTTGTGTTTACTTCAGTCATAGCTAAAATAAAAAATTTGCATTTTATATTCTATTGGGTATGAACAGAATTCAATATTTTACAATAAAAACAGCAGGTGATTAAAATCACGCATTTATTGAACATTCCAATTTCTTTATTATCAAGCAGAAGCAAAGACATCATGTAGATGGTAGCGCCTTCTTTAATCTTTCTAAATTTTTCAAGGTATGTTGATTATAAAGTTTACCCGTCAATGTAATAATGTATTTTAAGTTTGGGATTTAATATTTTGTGTCCATCTATCAATTAGTTCTTTATGTCAAGAAAAATTTGTGATAAAGTCATTTTTGCGTTACGTATATGTTTTATATGGATAACATTTGTTGATTTTAATATGATTTTTCAATAAATTTGCGTTTGTAACGATTTAGTAATGGAAACTTCAGATCTGTTCCGACTTATTTCAATAGTTTATCTCAAATTATATTAATATAGCAAAGCTATATAATTAATAACATGTTTAGTGAAATAGTGACACGTCACTCGTTACACAATTATAAATGTTCTGGTCCCCACTGTTTTTTGTATGGAAGGTAAAAAAGGTTTCTTTCTTTATTCATTTGTCACGTCTCATTTAAATCTCAGGTTAAAAATGCATGTTCTCCATCGCCAACAGAAAACAAGCCAGATTTTAAAGACCTTTGTCACAGCTAAATATAAATCAATGTAAAATACTATTATTATATTGAATTTTTTAATATAACCCAAATTTTTACACTCATATAGTGCATAGTGCAACTGCATTATCGATAAAGTTTTGCTTTAGATAACTATATGGAATGATTAATTGCAGCAAATATTCGTAATTATTTTATACCGATTATACGCAGTCTGTGTCAGCTTTACATAAAACGTCTTTGTTGAAACGCATTCAGGAATGGTTAGGATGATGTAACTCAGTTGATATTCATGTGTTGATATTGTTGTGGATAAACTGGTCATGTTTTCTTTAACATTACGTTATTCTTATTTTAAACATATTTCATAATATTAAACTGGTCGTTTGTCTTAATATGATGAGTTACACAAAGTACATTTATTAATGATAACACCTGTGGTGTAATAAAATAACCTATATCGCATGTAGATAGTTGCTTTCTAAAAGAATTTTGCAAATTTACTGTTTGCACTATGGAGACCTTTAGGAGATGTCACAAATTCTCCAAACTTTGCATTAGCCAGCGCAAACACTTTTTTTTTATAAAAACGTACTGCATGCAATGATTCTAAATAGATCAATTAGAACAAACGTTTTAACTTTTCCTCTAACATGAATTTGATTCATCTGCAAATTCCTTCAAATTGAGTGATTGATTTAATTGGTAAAGCTCAGATTAGTTTGCAAACACCCTATAGACCAACTGCTTGCATTACTCTTGGCTTTACTTAAAATTATGTTTTAAGAAGGTTTTCAACAACTTGCTCAACTGCCACAAAAATACCTAAATGCATGAAAATATTTTTCTGCGTTTCTGCTACTACCTTGGTTAACCAAATTCATGGACAATTGGAAATTTACCAACTCAATCTTCAACTATTTCAGTTTTCCATAAATTGTATTTATAAATAATTAGTGCTCATCATATGATCATTTTATGATCCGTAGATGGAGTCAAGAGAAAAAAAGAATAGCTACTTTATGCAAGAAATACTTACAAATGTCGTTGAAAAGAAACTTGCTGATTTATTTATGCAAGAATGGGACATACATTACAAAAAATCTCTTGGACAATGGGAAAATACAAACGTTAGTGGCCAGAAGTTGTTCAATATTGAAAAAACAAAAAAGAAACTTCCTAACAAACGTATTCTGCAAACTTTTCAAGATGGTGACACCACTAAGTGGGATTGTACAACATTAATTGCAGCAATACTGTATTCCCACTCAATTGGAACAAAAATCGACCCAAGAGTTAGAGATGCAGTAGATAAAATTCGTAAAGTAATGAACAACTTCATTCATAGATATAAAGGTTATAAAATACCTGAATACGAATTTCACAAAATGGTCTATGATATTGAAAAGTCATTTCACTATCTAGGATTTTCATTCAATGAAATTAATGAAATAAAAAGTCAACGAAACAAATTTAATTCTTTTCAAGTACTTCCTTGTAAACCAAATCATAGCATTGTTAAACGTAGAGAGTTACTTAATCAAATCACAGCAGATCTGAATAACTTGCGCAGTACTAACAAAAATGAACTGACATATTACTATGTTTCTGGTAACCCTGGCAGTGGTAAATCTCAATTGGCTAGACAAATTTGCGAAGAAATGTATAACTCGTTTGACTGGGAAAAGAATACGACATTTTTGATGACACTCGACGGAAAAGACACCGACTCTCTTTTAAAAACTTATGCTGAACTTTGTCAACAATTAAACAATGATAAAACATTCATTGAAAATATTTTAAAAGAAGCAAGAAGCAGCGAAGACAAAATCAAAGATTTTCAATTATTGCTGACACAACAACTGAAATCATGGCAAACATGGTGGATTGTTGTGGATAACGTGGTTGAACTTCATAAAATTTATCCATTATTACCTCAAGTTGGTGATCATAACTGGAAAAATGGACAAATTGTTGTAACTGTCCAAAACACAGATGCTATAACACCAGATGGAAATCTAAACAAACACATTTCAATCAGTCATGGTATGAATGATAAAGAATGTCGTCAACTTCTGTCTGTTTATACCGATGTTCATAATCAGGATGAAGAGTTTTTAACGAATTTGTCAGAAAAATTAGATCGTCAACCATTGGTCCTGGCAAGTGCTGCTTACTACGTAGGTAGTGTAAAAGTGAAAATCTGGAATTCACGTGGGAACAATATTTCGATAAGTTGAATGAAGGAGAGCGACAGAGCATGGATGCCAAATTTCAAAAGATCAATACAGCATATTCTGGAGGTAAATCAACTTTATTAAAAACTGTTGAGTTGGCAGTACAAAAAAGTACTCAAGAATCTATATTATTGGAAAAAATTTTTAGTCTTTTCTCGATAATATCTTTCGATCCGTTACCACAAGATATTATCATACAATTTATTAAAAGTATTGATCCACATAAGTCAGCAGAAGATATATGCCTTCAATTAAAGCATTGTTCGTTAATTCTTCAATCGGAAAACAACGACATCCGCCTGCATCGCGTTGTACATGAAGCCATCATAAATTATCAATCTTGGCAGACCTCTTGCAGTAAACAAAAAGAAAATAATTCGACTAAGATGTCTCTACTTGCGTGTCAAGTCGCTTGGGCACTCTATCATTTTGAAGACAGAGAAGATCAAATCAAAATAATTCCACATCTTATTAAATTCACAAACAATTCGTCATTTAAGCACTTTCAAAATAAGTTGATAAACGAGAAATCGTTATTTTTTTTCTATAGAAAACAAGAACTTGATGAAAGCAATTTGAAAATTGCTAATTACTTTGTAAATGTATTAAAAAAATTTTGCAACTATAAACAGGCCATCAATGTACTTAAGGATATAATAACAATTCAAACTAGAGTGTTAGGTTTCAATCATGTTGATGTTTCATATTCGTACAACGAGCTGGGTGGGTTGCTTTGGAAGAATGGAGAATACGAAAAAGCAAAAGATTCTTATGAACGAGCGATGAAAATTCAAATAAAAGCATTTGGACCTGACCATGTTAATAACGCGACAACGTACAACAATCTGGGTTTGGTTTACAATGATATGGGAGAATACGAAAAAGCAAAAGATTCTTATGAACGAGCGATGAAAATTCAAATAGAAGCATTTGGACCTGACCATGTTAATAACGCGACAACGTACAACAATCTGGGTTTGGTTTACAATGATATGGGAGAGTACGAAAAAGCAAAAGATTTTTACGAAAAAGCCATGGAAATACAAACAAAAGCATTTGGACCTGACCATGTTAATATCGCGACAACGTACTGCAATCTGGGTTCGGTTTACAAAGATATGGGAGAATACGAAAAAGCAAAAGATTCTTATGAACGAGCGACGAAAATTCAAATAAAAGCATTTGGACCTCACCATGTTAATAACGCGACAACGTGCAACAATCTGGGTTTGGTTTACAATGATATGGGAGAGTACGAAATAGCAAAAGATTTTACGAAAAGCCATGGAAATACAAACAAAAGCATTTGGACCTGACCATGTTAATATCGCGACAACGTACTGCAATCTGGGTTCGGTTTACAAAGATATGGGAGAATACGAAAAAGCAAAAGATTCTTATGAACGAGCGACGAAAATTCAAATAAAAGCATTTGGACCTGACCATGTTAATAACGCGACAACGTGCAACAATCTGGGTTTGGTTTACAATGATATGGGAGAGTACGAAATAGCAAAAGATTTTTACGAAAAAGCAATGGAAATACAAACAAAAGCATTTGGACCTGACCATGTTAATATCGCGACAACGTACTGCAATCTGGGTTCGGTTTACAAAGATATGGGAGAGTACGAAAAAGCAAAAGATTTTTATGAACGAGCGATAGAAATTCAAACGAGAGCATTTGGACCTGACCATGTTCATATTGCGACAACGTACAACAATCTGGGTTTGGTTCACAAAGATATGGGAGAGTACGAAAAAGCAAAAGATTTTAATGAACGAGCGATAGAAATTCAAACTAAAGCATTTGGACCTGACCATGCTAATATCGCGACAACGTACTGCAATCTGAGTTTGGTTTACAGTTATATGGGAGAGTATGAAAAAGCAAAAGATTTTTATGAACGAGCGGTAGAAATTCAAACGAGAGCATTTGGACCTGACAATGTTAATATCGCGACAACGTGCAACAATCTGGGTTTGGTTTACAAAGATATGGGAGAGTACGAAAAAGCAAAAGATTTTTATGAACGAGCGATGGAAATTGAAACGAAAGCATTTGGACCTGACCATGTTAATATCGCGACAACGTACAACAATCTGGGTTTGGTTTACTATAATATGGGAGAGTATGAAAAAGCAAAAGATTTTTATGAACGAGCGGTAGAAATTCAAACGAGAGCATTTGGACCTGACAATGTTAATATCGCGACAACGTACAACAATCTGGGTTTGGTTTACAAAGATATGGGAGAGTACGAAAAAGCAAAAGATTTTTATGAACGAGTGATAGAAATTGAAACGAGAG